GCGGAGCTCATGGTATCGGACAGTCCACAAACACTGTGCGTGTGTTTTATAAAACGTGCGATGATTGCAGACCATCCGATTCAGTAAAAGAGATTGGATTTTTCTTTTGCAGACTCAGATTTGAAAAATGCAAAGGTAAAAAAGAACTTCTCATCTTTTAAATCCTACTGCTACCAGTTATGAGATGACACGTAGAATGATAGACCATATTGATGGTTCAACATGACGACAGCCTTCTAGCACCCGCATGGGCCAGGCCCGCTTTTAACCTCACCCACAATCCCAAATCCTAAGTGTCCGCCGCTAGGGCCCACCGTCTCCTGCCTCCAGATAAAATACTACTCCCCTCAATTTCAATTTTATTTGGTAATGTGATACAGTAGTTTATTTTGCACAGGTTTAATGTAAAAATATTAAATTGGTAATATTATAAAGGGTAAAGTGTAAAAAATTCTTATAAATTATTGACTTTTTGTAATTAAGCCTCCGAACTAAAGGTTGTCTTCCTAAACAATTGATTTGTTGCAATTAAAGACAAACTTATCACAAAAGACTATTTTACTATTTTTATTAATTTGTCATTTCTCATTAAATTATTTTTTATTATATTTTCTCTTATTTAAATATTAATTATACCATTTACCTTGATTTTATAATTATTATCAATTGATTATAAAAATGAAAAAAAATAAATAAATTTGTATTTATCATTTTCTAAAATGATTAACTTATAATAATAAAATTTATTATACTCACTTTAAAAAAAAATTAGTATAAAAAAAAATCTTCTTTTTCAAACAATATTCATGAAAAATTAATAAATTATGTAAATAAAAAATATCTTCTTTTTAATGCAATATATTCATGAAAATTAAGAAATTACTTAAATTGTTTCAAATTTTTCTATTAAAGATTTTTATTTAAATAATTAATTAAAAAAATTAAAGGCGAAGTTATGCAAATTTAATGGAGAATATTTCATCAACTTAGTATGAATTTTTTTCGTAATTTATTTTAACAAGAAAAATATATCAAGTGTAATTCAATAAAAAGGGGTATTATGGTCATTTAATGAAAAATAGGTAAGACAATTGGGCATTTTGCAACTAAATGTGATAGTTTAGGGTGGTTTATGTACAAAACATAGTTCAGGGGGATTATTTGCAAATTTAGACATAGTTGAGGGATTTTTTTTGCACTTTATTTTATTATAAATAAAAAAAATAATACATTAATTTTTTAAATGAGATAATTATTTTTTGATAGATAAAAATAAAAAGCTGAATACTTATTTTGGAATGGAGGAACAATATAAAATGAAATTATATATATATATTTATTACCGTAAATCACATTTTGTCAAACAGTATAAAGTTGACACTTATGTTCGCATAACAATATATAATTAGTTGGAATGTACCATATAATAAAAAATAAAATAAAAAACTTGTAACATGACTTGCTTCTTGGTTGTTTCAACTCGAATCTAGATGAGTAAAAAGTATAAGTGATACCCGAGCATGGATAAGATATGGGTTCTATTCTCTAAATGATTAGTGTTACATCTTTAAATCCATATATTCGATCTGATTGAAACTTCGATTCTTATACATTCAATCGATAATCACACTAAGTTCGCATTTAATTCCAGCACTGTGCACATACCCAAAAAGTAGTCAGAGCATTTGGACATAAAGATGATATGTCAAATAGAAGGCCCATATCCATCCATTGCCTTTAATGTAACAATAATGAGTTTGTGAAAGTTACCATATATATATATAAGCATGCTTGTGAACAGTGAAACGAGATCGATTGGTCAATGGTCACCGATGTTTCTAGTCAGTCACTATCGGACATGTATGAAAAAATTGAAAAAACTTTTCAAATTTCTAACATAAAATTGAAAATTTTTTCCACATTTCTAACGCGTGGTGATTGGTAATAGGATTTACTATACAATCCCATCTCTGCTGAACTGTTGAAGCCTGTGCATGGTTTGAAGATTTTTTTTTTTTTTTTTTTTTTTTTTAATCCCGGCAAGAAAAACAAACAGCATCTACACACAAAGTCATAAACATCATAAAAGACAAATAAATCAATAAACAATACAATAAAAATTAAAGATTTGGCCTCAAATTTATTGAGAAACAAGTCAAAAAAACACCAACGGACCACCCAAGAAATAGAGCAGTCAACTGAAGTGATCCAAAGGTCAGACCGTTATCAAAACAACAGTTCCAAAACTGCATTCACAAGGCGCCGCCGACTAAGAAAAAACCACCCAAACCCCGCACAAAAAGGCGGGAGACGCCAAAATTCGACATAGATCAAGAATCTAGCCAGAAACAAAACACCATATTCACCCTCTCAAGCCATAAGCAAGCCAAACTAGGAGCATGTCAAACAAAATCATAATAAAACGACGTGAAACTACCAACCGAACGAAACTATTTACACCACGCCGAGTTTATTTGTCGGTTGGAGGCAACGACCGGGCCCCATGGGCAGAAGAGAGTAGATGAAAGGGAGGCGGCTGAGGTTACTGAGAGGCGAGAGAAAAAGTAGAGAGAGAAAGAAAGGCATGTGCATGGTTTGAAGATGAAGTGAATTGATTGGTGTAAATGAAAGTTCGTTATTTCACTTCAGAAGAAGAAAAAAAAAAAAGGGGTACATAAATGACGGTAGGTTGCAGTAGTAGTAGTACTAATAATTAGCTTACATAACAATACAGATACAGTGATATTATTCATCACTGCAAGCTTCCATCTCTAGACCTTCTGCTATGTCCTCTTCAGAATGCAAATGATTTGATGTATCATTCAACATTCTTGGTGCTTCAGAGATAGAGATTAGATGTTTCAAAGTTATGCAGAAAGAAGTGAAACAAGAATCAGATTGGAGAGAAAGAGCAAAAATCTGTTAACTAATTAGCTGACCACCACTTCAATTATATATATATATAAGATTTCATAAAATTTTGTTAAAAAAAAATGAAACACATCTCGTGAACGTTCTGTTTTTCATAATTTCAAACTCGAAACAAAATTTGGAAAATATAATTGCAAGAAGTGACTTTAATATATCTATGCGGTATTAGAATAAATCTTGGAAATCAAATTTTATTTTTTAAATGATATACAAACAATATCAGCTTGAGTGGTAAATATAAATATAACTGAATTAAATTGATTAAGACTTAAGCCTTACACTAACAGCTAGCGGTAAAATGAAAATTTACTGTTAAAAGTGTTTTTACTTCATTTTTACTTATTTTTTTGGTCAGAAATATGAAGGGGAAAAAAGAAAGTGCCCCTTTTTATTTTTTTCCTCTTAGTTGGTATATTAGTAGAATTTTTAGATCGGCAATAATGCCATGAAAAAATAATTGACTATATCATTTTCTTCCTGATCTGGTTGATCTGCTCTAATATCATGTTATTTACTATATATTCTAATAAGTTTAAATTATTAAAAATGTGTAATTTTAATATTTAAAAACAATAACAATGAGTAGCACAAAATTGTATAACAATCATAATTTTTAGGGAGCATTTTATAAAAAATTCTATATATATACATATAAAATAAAAAAAATATTTCTATATGTAGAGTGGGCGGGCCCGGCCAAGGCACTGGCTCCGCCAACACAGGAGGGAGCTCCAAAAATCAAACAAATGGAATGTAGTTCAATGTCCTAAGCTTAAAAAACAATATATTCCCTTAATGAGAAAGAGTGTTTCGGAGTGACTGATAGTTTGAATTGCTAGTTTCAATTGATCTTTTACCTAGTAAGATGTGGCACAGCTTACCTACACTTACCCGAGTAAGATGTGTCCACAAAACTCACTTTTACCAGTAATTATTACAATTTATATCAATGTAGGTGTTTTTAACTTCCAATCTTTTTTGGAATTATTTTAGGCTTAGGAAACTGTCACTATGCAACACCCACTGTATCATCTAGGTAATTAAATTCTTCAAACTGCTTTGAATTTCAATTTTATTGCAAGAAATGAAAGCAAATGAAAAACAAATCTGTGTTTATTTTACAGCACAAGTTCATCAAAGAGTCCATTTGGTTGATTTTTGGAGCTCCCTCTCAGTGTATTTTTTTTTTTTATATATATATTGCTCCCTCTTTTCTTACACAGTTCTTAGAAAGTGAGGGAGAAGATTCAAATTTTTTATTTTTTTATATTTTTTTTCCCACGTAGTGAAAACCCAACTGAAACTACCGACCCAGATATAAGGGTAATTTGGTCAGAAAAAATTACTTCACAATATTGTTAAAAGGAGGTAAGTTAAATCACCCCCTCCTCATAGTTGAGGGAGGTTTCTTGCCAAAGACATTCACATGGGTTTTTTTTTTAAGATTGGCCGTTATTATTATTGAATTGAGGCACTAAAGAACATATTGCGATGTCATGTCTATTTGTAAAAAAGTGTCGACATGCAAATATTTCGTATAAATAAAATTAGAAAGATCTGGAATGTAATTAAGAAGATTGGCGAATTCGTGTAAAGTATAATAAAAATTGGTAATGTAAACCTATCACTTGTACATTTATTTTCTAAATTTGTAGCAAAAGATACCTATATGTATTAATATATTCTTACGAGAAGAATTTTTTACATGATCTCATTCAATCACATTCTACCACATAAATAAAATTGAATAAATTTAACACAATCTATTTATTTACTAAAAAAAAAAAAAAAAAAAAAAAAAAGGGAGGAGTTGGTAATGGAGAGAACGTATTGCCACTAAATTGATACTAAAACAAGAATCAAGCCAATAGACAAAAGAGTAAAAAAATAGTATTAATATAAAAAATAAACACAGTCGCACCACTTAAATTATATTGAAAAAGTAACTTCAAAATTTCTCTCTATTTTTATAATTTTTGCTTTACAATCATATTTGGCATTTGCTGTGAAATTGATATCATCTTGGCCATCAAAGATGAAATATACGAATCCAGTTACTTTCTAGTATATACACATAACACACACGTTAAGTTCAAATTGTATCAAACAAACAATTACAGGGAAGTATGAAATTTTAACCGTGCTATTGTCTTTCTCAACACACAGTATTCCGATCTAAGGGAAACAATACAATAGCAAAAAGAAAAGAAAACTTCACGTTTAAATTGGATTTTAATCTGCAGAAAACATACACATTCCAAGAGTCCAATTCGGAGGGAAAAATACTACATACTAGTGTAGGGCACCCAGTAATATAAAGTTCCCCTTAAGACGTGGGAACCATGAACAAAGCTCCAAGTAGATACACATACAACATACAAGCCAAACAGCCCATTCTAAGCAAATTCTGGAAGGCCAAAGGTCCCATCATTTTTCTAGCCTCTTTGATCCTCCAACAAAAAGCACCTGAAAATAAAATTTAATGTAAATTAAAAGCAATTCACAGTTTCAGAGCAAGAATGATGATAGTAAGTCGAAAGAAAAGATGGTATAGGATTATTAGATTAAAGCCTCGTGATGCAATGAAGAAGGGTATCAACCACCAAATAGCCTACGCTGTGTGTCAGACCAGGATGGGTAATCCGGTTGCCACAATTTCGTGAATAGAGAATCCATTCGTGATGGAAAAAAAAAAACTTAGAGAATACTTTAGAATAGCTAAACAGAATCGATGAAATGTAAATTAAATAAAAATATAGAATAAGTTTTTACAGAACCATCTAACAAATGAATAGCATCCAATAAATAAATAAAAATTCATCCATTTTGCTAAAATAATGTTAAGATAAATCTTGAGTAACTAAAAGAGACAAGGAAATCATGCATGTACCTTATTAGTGATAATATAAGAAAAAATAGATTTATATGACACAGGCATCAACAATATAGACCAACAGAAGCATCAATTTAAAAAGAAAAAGAAAAGAAAAAAAGAAAATATGTTCAAATAGAAAATAAGAAGTAAAAGAATACTAATATGGAATAAAATAATTAAAAAATACATTAAAAATTAATAGGAGATGTAACCCAAAAAAAAAAAAAAAAAAAAAATCAAATCACTGACTCCATAATTGAAATCTAGGCAAGAACAATGGTAATAATCTTAAATCCATAAACCCAATTAGCATCTTTTTAATTATTCCTTCAAATTTATAACCTAAACAATTAACTAATTTTAATCTGTAAGCATCATTTTTTGTTGCTCGGATACCAAGATCTCAACGTCACTACCTTGAGGTCTTTAAACTCTAATCCTCGTTTAAGCAATATTTGTGATTTGCAGGTAATTGCCAATATCCTGAGTTAAATTTGGAGCCACAAGTCCAAGGAGTGGCCTGGTTGGAACGGTTCTATGTTAGCCCAAAAAAAAAAAAAACAATGGTAGTAATTTGTATAAATGGGAAAACTGAGTTTTAGATGTTTTTTTTCCATATAAAATAGAGCAGTGTCTCAGATGGTAGGGACTGTCCAAAGCATTTTTTTGTATATTTTGTAGGCAAAAGTTTAAATTGTCCATCACTTTTATGAATGATTAATCCCAATCAAGCAAATTCTGACCCAACCCCGATTATTTTGGCCGAATCCAAATGTATTAAACCCCAAATCCATCTTAACCAAAAAACTTTTAAGCTCATCTTCAAAAAAAAACTTCCATAGATTGAAAGTTCAATCATTTCTTGATAAATCAAGATAAATTTCAGTACCCGGTCAAATACCTAAGCCACAACATAATCAGCAGCAATAAATAGATGATCCTTTATTACCTGAATTATACGGGCCAGAGGTGGTTAATCAATTATATGATCATGTTGCGTTTGTTTCACTATACTTGGATGGAAATCTGTCAGCAACTTTTTGATACCTTAGCCTTCTTTCCCTAAAATAGCAAAAAACATACTGAAGAAGTTACGCATTTCAAGAACCAAAACAAATTATAAATAAATACCATTTTATTGGTGATGAACAAAACCAAAAAAGCAATTTACGATAGTAAAATGCATGTAGGTCCATGCAGGTGCCAACTCTAAGTTATCAGTTAGTGGCTTATACGATGATTCTAGATTGAAAACTTCCTTGAAGAACCCAGAGATCTCTAAAATAGCATGGCAGCCCTGCATCCTTTCCCTGCTTAAAAATAATGGTTGTCTTTTATTTATCTCAAAGTAATGGTACCAAAGAGCAAGATTGAATTAGAGACAGGCCTTGAATGGCATGGCCTGATCATTGTAATTGCAGTGAGCCTCTCATTAATCATTTGTTCACACCTCCCATCAACCCAAACACCTATATTGGTTCTTTTCAGCAGAACATGCAAACTTGAAAACGAGGATCCCTCATCACCCCTCCCCACCCAAAAAAAGGGAAAATAATTTAATAAATAAAGAATACAAAAATAGAGAAATAAATCTAGAAAATAATTTGTAAGTGACTGCCAAACCTAACAAATGTAATTTCAAAGAATATACAAAAACATCACAGTTTTGCTATTAAAATAAATAAATTGTATTGCAAAAAACTGTATTGGCCATTGCCAAAACAATGTAAAACAGTGGACCAATTGGTTCTTAACATTCATAGAGGCACTTGATCCCATAATGATGGCAGGCTTTAAGCCTTTAAGAAAAGCAATTAAAACAATATGCTTCCTGGACAGGATTATCAAAATTTGAACTCATTTCTTTGACATGTCCCCAAAATGGTTATCAAGATTTCCAACACTTTCATACTTTACATTTCTCTACATTATTTTTTTTCCTTTCAAGACAGTTTTGGAAAAAATAGAAAAATGATAATAATAATCCCAACAATCTTGGGTGTGCAAAGAAACACAATTTAGTGTTCCTGTGTAACTAAGGTTCAACACATCCTTAATAGAGCTGCCTGGCTTAAATCCCTAAGATAAATATACAAAAAATAGAAAAACAAAGCTATTACCCAAGCTTCAATAAACTAATAAAAAAAAAAAAATGGAACAATTGCACCTTGTAAATACAATAGATAAGTCTACTTACCTTAATGAAAAAATGTCCTTTTCAATCGTTTTTTTCTGTTCAACATCAAAGGCAAACCATTTATCAACCAATGGAACTTCATCCCAATGTCCCATATCTGTCCATTTGAGAAGAAAGAGTATCAATAACTACATTCATAAATTGAACCCTGAAAAACAATTGTTCTAATGCATGTAAACTCACCTTGAAGCAAAATATCAGAATTATCAGAATAGCCCTTTAATCTCCAGTATGTACAACCATTAATGCCCAAAAGAATAGGTTCTGTTCTAACAGCATCAGATCTTGATTTCTCTAGAAAAGTTATTCGTAGAGCAAGGTCAAAACATATGACAAAAGATATCTATTTAGTAAGAGATAAATGAAGATACAAAATTTGATTGAATGGTAAATAGAACATACAGCAAATAGTTTGGATCAAGACAAACTCAACCCAGAATACATTAGTTGGTATATAAATATGTCGGATTCACACTTCAGAAACTAGTAAATTATATGCATTAGTATTTAACTCTTTGAGAGGAAAACCAACAAATGAGATGCCTGCTACTCAAAAAACTTGAACAAATCAAGCCTGAAGCAAGTAGAAGAGACAATTAAAAGCTAGCAGTTCAAGTCGGACCATCAGAAAACAAATTATGACAGGGAAGATGGTGATTGCCCTAAATTATTGGCCCAGTGACCTAGTAAAAAGGAGAGGATTGAACAAATAATTCAATTCCCTAAAACTATGAAGACAAAACCATATTGACCCCCCCCCCCCCCCAAAAAAAAAAAAAATATTCCTCATATTGGCCAAAATTAGTACACATCTTTTAGTTGTAAAAATCATTTTAAACAACCACATAAATCCAAAATAGAATTTTTTTTTTTTTTTTATGTCAAACTATTTTTTAAATTAATAGTCCGGATAGCCAATAATGACAAAGTTAAGTTCAATTAATAGTTAATGACTTAATGTAAACACCTCCTAAATGCATTCTGGGTTTATGCCAAATTAATACCAGCTTGCCACCAAAGGTAGACATTATACAATTTGTCTTATGCCATCCAAAAGTAGCATATGATGATACCACAAATTACTGCCTTCCAATTCAAGGATGTCAAACACCAATAAATTATTCATCATTGCCTTACAAGCCAGTCCATTCCATTGCACATAAGCTAAATGTGAAAGCCCATAATTGCAGACCACCATCATCATCATCATTTTTGTGCCTTTATCCAATATGAATGGAGGTGGCTATACTTGTAAACCCGTAAATGAAATATATTGATTTGTACAAGATAAAGTAGCACGTATGAATATTGCACAGCACTCTTTACATGAACATAAAAATAAAAATAAAACAGATTGTACAAATAGAGATGGAAAGGAATCAAGCTGCCAATAAAAGCTTCAATGGTGAGGGCAACCAAAAAGAACGTGAGATGAAGTTACTAAAAACAACTTTAAAAAGATAAACATATTTAGGTGAAATGGCATGTAATAGAAAATATTCGAGAAAGAGAATTCATGTGGCCAACCAAATTCATACGGGAATAAAGCAAGGATGATGATGATGAATTAAAAAACTCCAACTGAGCTTGTAAAGTGAGCTTGCTCAAATGTTGAGCAAGCCAAGCTCAACCTGAAGTTTTATGTATAATTTCTTGGGAAGCCCAGCTTCAACAACACCAAATTGGCTCATTAGATGAGCTCTATCAAGGTTCTACTTACATTAGCCCTTCAGGCCCCTACCTGAGAAAGACTGTTGAGCAAATGTTACAAAATGGTATAAAACTCAGTGGATTGTGCTGAAAAATTATGTGGATTTGGGAGTCTGTTGAACAGTCAAGATAATATTACCAAATTATAACATTAAAATGAGTGTTCAATTAGGCTATTAACAAACTCAATAGGCTTGTGAACAGGCTCAAGCTCAGCCAAATGTGCAAACCGAGTTTTAAATGTCCTAGTCAAAAACAGGTCAAGCTTGAGTTTGATTCAAACTCTACAACATCATAATTAAATAGCCAACAAATGACTCAAGATCATTATATGCATGCTAAGATCTTGGCAATCTTTTTTCTAAAAAAATAGACTGAAGAGATTCAGAACATACTCTCAGGCACCATGCCTTTTGACTCCAGCATCTCAGCATGAGCTTTAGCAGCTTCTGTTTTAATTTGTGAAGAAATAGCTTCATGCTCAGAAATTGTAAGAGGAGCACCATTTTTTGCAGTAATAGTTTTTGCTACTTCATCTAACAGCTTCTGCTTCAAGTGTTTCTCCTGTACATAATATCATTCTTAAACGGAAAGCTCTTTAAAAAGAAGACTAGTGACATGATTCCAAGGGCCTTTCTTTAATAATTTGTAACCTTATCTTTAGCGGCAAGCACTCTCTCTTTTGCTTCCTTCACCTTTTCAGCAAATTTCAAATTTTGATCATCAATCCAGCTTCTAACTTGCCTATAAGAAATATCAATGCATATGGACATCATTTTCGTAGAAAAAGGAATACAAATTATAAAAAAAAAAAAGCAATAATCCTTACGCTGTGCTAAGAACTTCATCACATATACAATTTAATAATATAAGCTTTTTTGAGAAGTCTAAACTATCATATCCATCAGTTCCCTTATCTAAGCATTTCAGGGGCAGTTCTTTTAGTACAAACTCAGATTTAGAGACGCAGTTCTTCAGAGCATGGACCCATGAATTTTTGTCATTTGTTGGACATAAAGTCGGTGACCTAAACAGAAAAACCAGCACAAATTAGTTCATTTTTCCCTATGTAATGACATATGGTTTAATATAAATTTATTAAGGCAAAGGCTTGTACTTTTCTCCTAAGTCCTTTTGTATAAAAGAAAGCAACTGGATATGAAACTGAAATACTACTGAATATTTTCCTCGTTGTCCACTTCGTCCACGTCTTAGTTCTTTAAGAACAGATTCAGGCAGCCCTTTCTTCAGATCAAGAATCTATAAACAGAGATCAGAGAAAGAAAAAAGTCAGAGGAAACGACACTTGATGTACAAAATGAAATAATCCTAGTTTTGTTACTTGAATCATTATCATTTAATAACGAAAAGATACATCAAGAAATTAATTAATCAACCAAGTAGTAGTCAAAGATGGTTCTTACAGTCAATGTTCAAACTATTTTATTTACATTCACCACATCCCCATGTATGAGACCACACACATGCAAGCACACACTCATTTGCAAGCATTCACAGACCCCAAAACAACAACAGCAGCAACAATAGCAGCAGGAAAGTGGAAACATGAGAAGAAATGGAAATCAAACATCAAACCCTATATCAATATCAACTGTGCTTCATCCAAGTAAAATCCAAAACATATTATGCAACAGCCGAGGCCACAAGTAATGGAAGACACCGCAATTCAACAATGTATCTGAAGTAATCCAAAATTCAAAGGAGAAATGTAATAATTTGAAGAAAATGATTACGATCATATTTTCCTCTCATTACATAAAGAATTTGAGTTCACTTGCCTCAGCAAAAGCAGCACAGAACTCTAAGAATTGCAAAGCATGACCAATGTCTTCTGGCTGTAAGTCAATGCCAGCTACAGTTGTCAACTCAATGCCCTGGGGCAATGAGATTTCAGAATCAAGGTCAGTACTCTGGTACTTCATAGCATTCCTCTCAACTTTGCAAGACTTTACAACTGTCTTGGGCTTGCCTTCATCATTACCAATTTTCCTGCTATCTAACACTTCCACATCTTTATGTGTTGAACTATCCCTTTCTTTTCTCTTCTGATTTGTACCATGTTCAGAAGGAACTTCTTTTAATAACTTCTTAGAATTACTTTTATCCCGTAGAACACCATCAACCTTTCCATTCATTTTCACCTCTTTCTTGGAAATTCTAGTAGAAATTTGAGGCTTCTTAGGACTAGTCTCCTTCAACAAAATCCCACCATCCCTATTGTCATCAGAATTATTTTTATCTCGTACAACACCATCAACCTTTCCATTCGTTTTCACCCCTTTCTTGGAAATCCTAGTAGAAAATTGAGGCTTCTTAGGACTAGTCTCCTTCAACAAAATCCTATCATCCCTATTGTCATCGGAACTATTTTTATCTCGTGTAACACCATCAACCTTTCCATTAGTTTTCACCTCTTTCTTGGAAGCTCTAGCAGAAATTTGAGGCTTCTTAGGACTAGTATCCTTCAACAAAATCCCATCATCCCTATTGTCATCTTGCAACTTTTTCAACCTTTCCAGCTTCATTTTCTTGGGTTTCTTTTCATCAGGGTTCAGCGCCGAAGGCATGGGATGGAAGTTCAAATCACCACTTCCATCAAAAATGTTTTCCTTCCCCCTCTTTCTAGGCGAAGCAACTTCAGCCTCCTGTTCAAAAGGGGAAAAAAAAAATGGTGTATAAGCATGAAATGACGCAATCCCATCAACCAAACGTGATAAAAACTTAAAATTTCCAGCCCATGATAGAAAAGCATTATCACACCTTCTTTGAAGCAGCCAGCTTTTTCGGTGAAGTACCTATGTCTTTGGCCATTTTGTTGAGACCAAAATTTTCAGGACCCTTAGTATCCAGCATATCTGAAACAGAGGAAAACCCAGTTGCCTTGGCTGTGTGCACAAGTATACCAGTGGGTTGATGACCCCGTTTCTTCCTGAAAGTTGCATATTTTTTCAGACCCACCACCAAAATACTGGAATCACAAATATTAAAACCAGAACAGTTCTCATCAACAAAAACTCACATGCATAAACTGCAATTGCAGATGCCTCTGCACTTGGGGCATTTCCAGTCCTCCAACAAGGACATTTCTTCTGCCTTCTCTCCGTATCTGGTTCAACATAAACCATATTTTGAATTAACATGCACAAGACCTCCAAAAGAGTTTAGCGAACGGAAACTGGAAATTTTTTAAAGAAACACATCACCCTAATTAACCTGTTCAAGAGGCACTTGTGACAAAATTTAATAGGGCATGACTTCTTCTTTTTTTGATTCCTGCAGCCAGCTGAGAAATCCATGGTTTTTTGGCGACACTTCAAGACATTTAATTCAATCATGAGTACCAATACAATATCACAAAGATTAAAATAAAAAATGAGAGAAAAAATTTGTAATCATTTGTACTACATCTGACCGTTGAGGTAATAAAGTAAGACTAAAAACACCGTGAACCCCATAATCTTTAATAGTTAGGGCCCAAGAAAAGGTCACCAGTAATCCGTGTTTACAACTTTATGAGTTAGTCAGTTTAAGTTACCCATTTTCTAGAAAGGCAAACCAACATTAAGTAGTGTTTTTTCCCCTTGCTTTTCTCATCATCAAACAGAGTTTAAGTTCTCAAGAAAATAATTAAAATAAAAATGAAAAAACAAACAAACAAAATTTTAAAAATCACAGGCTTCCATTACTCAATAGCCAATAATTTAACCTGCTCAATTATCTCTAAAAGGCCAGTAAAACAGTATGACTATGAAGCAAGGACCTTGATTCCCCGTCCCTAAAGCTTATACAGAAAGAACCACGCATTTAAAAAACTTAATTCCCTCATATTCCCTGCTTTATCAGCCACTAAAAAAGAAAGAAATTAAATAATTTTGTAGCACCAATTTCAGCTCCTACGGATCAGCATCCATAAACCTTTTTTATTGCATATAAAATTTTAAAAAGGCATAGTAACTCTTATATCACATAATTTCCGTTATTTAAGAATAAAGACACAATAGATCTAAAACCTTATATCAACTCCCCCTATATCAACTCCCCCGAAACAATCATCTCTCAGGACTATCCCAGTACATAACATTCACAAATTGTAATTCTTCTCCCATTTCTCTTTGTTTTCTCACAAGACAAATAGAAAATAATAATTGGGTTTTACATATATTCTCGTGATACATACATAGAATTCGTATTTTCCCTTATACATAGAAAGGTTGCCAATTATATGTACAAGGACAAAAGAAACATCAGATCTCAAATCACAATCTTGCCCTAAGCACAACCCTACAAGGCTTAATTGACAGTAATTCTAAAATCATTCTTATTTCAGTGTTTCCTCATTACAATCGGAGAAACCAAAAAAGCGTTTTGTTAGGGTTTCATGAAATTACCTGATGACAAGTCGTTCCATTCTGAGAATCATAAATTCGGCCCCCGATGACACGAACCCCCGGACTCTTGGTGCGCTTAGCAGGAGAAGAACGAACACTACCAGATTGTTGATTGGACTTCTTTCCCTTCTCACCCTTCTTCTTCTTTATCCTTTCCTTCCTTTCAGATGCGATTTGTTTGGAAGCAGAGCTTGAAGCGACCGCCATTACTGTGAATTGTGTCTGCTGTAATTCCTTTAGTTGGAAACGCGGAGACCGAACTCGCACAAACTCTCAAACTGAAGGTGAGCTTTGGGGGCAAATGTGTTCCTTTTTTATCCGTCGGAATGTTAGTTCTCAGATGGGTTGTGGCGGCAAATCATGAATTTGAAAATTGTTGGAGAGAAAATGAATTTTAACGAGGGAATTGCAATTTGGACTTTGGAGGTTTCTGCTAGTGCTTTTTGAGGTGGGTTGGCGCCAAATGAAATTAGGAAATTTTTCGGGTGTACCTCGTTACATTATTTAATGGAACTCACCCAATTTTTATTTTATAGCCTTTTTTTGAAACCGACTTCGGACCAATAGAGAGCACATGGGTGGGGCCCACTCACATACCCTTTGAGTCTTTAAATCGATACAAACCGAATTTCGGTTAGTAAAATACTTTCTTCATTTAATTATGATAAAATATTTTCTTTTTTTAGATAAAATGTTTATTTTTTATTTTTTATTTCTTAGTGTATAGCAAAGATGTAGGTCAAAATTGAAGAAGAATTTATAGGATAGGACTTGTAAAATAATATATCAAAAATTAATGAACAAATTATTTTTGTTAGAATTTATCGGATGGGAAGCATAGCACATAATTTTGGGCAGCTGTGATGGGATTGGTTTGCGACAATAGATTTTGGGGCTTTTGATACTAAATTTGTAACGGGTCCATCGGTGACCGTGGAACGCAATGTTTCAGAGCGATTGACTGTAAAAAAAAAATTATGAATATTACATACGTATTTTTTATTTATTTTTTTGATAAGTAAGAATTTTATAAAAAGGCGCTCAAAAGGGAGCGAAACCCAAGGAAATAAGAAGAAAAAAAACCATAAAGAGCCTCAAGCCTTCAAATAGGCCAAAAAAATAACAATTTCATCAACAGAACGATAATCTCTCCCTGAGACCCAACAAAATAAAGTAGAAATAATAGAGAACTCAAGCATAGAAATGGGTTTCTCCTTGCCATCGAAGTATCTTCGATTCCTCTCGAGCCAAATGCACCACCAAACACAGAGAGGGGTAGCCCTCCAAGCATCCCGGATGAGCACCCCAACAGAGACACCTCTCTAAGCCTCAATCAACTCTCTAGAGGAACAGGGCATAACCTAAGGAACCCCAAATAACCCAATCATCAAATCCAAACAATCTCTGGCCATACTGCAATGCAACAGAAGGTGATCCACTGTCTCCTCATCGCAACGACACAAGTAACAGCGATTGATAACCACCTGCATTCTCCTTCTCAAATTATCCTGTGTTAAAATCCTACCCAAGACAGACGTCCAAGCAAAAAAGGCCACCTTAAAGGGAGCCTTGGAACGCTAAATAGCCTTCAAAGGGAAAGTGCCACCCTCCCCATCAGAAAGGCACCTGAAAAAGGATCTCACCTCGACACGACCCTGAGAGTGTGGACTCTAAAGCCAACAATTAGCCTCCTCATGAGAGATCACCTGATGATACAGTAACTCCAAAAAACGAGTGACCTCCTCAATTTCTCAATCCTAAAAATGCCTCATAAACTGAACGTCCCAAGTTAGTCTTCCGTTATCAAGGTGATAACAGTCAACCACCAAGGCCTGCCTGTCAGAAACAATCCTGTAAAGCCGAGGGAAGAAAAGAGCAAGGGGAAGATCCCCGCACCAAAGGTCCTCCCAAAATCTGATCCTTCTACCATCCCTGATCCTAAAGCGAACATGATTACGAAAAACGTCCCATCCCTTTCGAATACAAGTCCAAACCCCCACACCCCTAGGACCACGCCCCTCGAGAGAACACCACCCACCACTGATTTCCCCAAACTTACTGGCAATAACTTTCCTCCAAAGCCAAAGTCTCTCAACCCCAAATCTCCAAAGCTATTTCCCAATAAGAGCCCTATTGAAAGGCAACAACCTTCGAATCCCTAATCCTCACTTGCTCCCATCGAACCAGATGATATTTGAACTCCTCTCCTCTCCCTCCCCAAAGAAAAATCCGCTGCAAACTCTCAATTATCTCAGCCACCGAAGAAGGAATCTGAAAAATGGAGATAAAATAAGTGGGAAGGCAAGAGAGAGTGCTCTTGATCAGAGTGACCCGCCCCCCTTTGGATAGGTACTACTTCTTCCAACCCACCAGCCTCTTCTCAAATCTATCCACCACCAAATCCCATCTCCCCACACATCTCGAAGGAGCAAAACAATACTAACAATAAAATATATTGAAATTACTCATTGATATGTCATTTTCTTGTCGGGGGAATTTATTTTTTTCAAGTCAGCAAAATCATTGATAAATTGCTACAACTTGTCAAAATTTCATTGGATAAGGAAATTACAATGGCCATGTCAGCAACTAAAGGTAGATATCACATGAAACGACGTAGTTTAATTAATGGTCAAAATGGTAATTTCCTTTTTTGTTAATGGTTGACCTTGTGGGGTTACGTGGCAACACAGTTCAGGGGTATTTTTTAGTGTTGGGGTTTCTTGCATTCAGCTCACGGGTTGTCATATCTTTTACTGAGATAATAGAGCATCACAGGGAAGCTTGGCGACAATTCTAAGTCCATTCCTGACACGTCGCTGTTAAAACATGGGTGGAGTTCTACATGTGTACCTAAACGAGGTGGGTCCCCATGAAATCTAAAAATCAGAAAGTAATGGCAGTGATTTTGCGTGGCTCAAACGTGGCAGTAGCCCAATGGGACAACGAGGATAAGGCACAACTTCTGCTGGTTTACAAGTGGAAATCAAAATGTCTGAAATATGGAATAATGTCAGTATCTGCAAAATGATTCCATTAATGGAAGCATTTTGGAGATAAGTACCCACTCTTAATAGACCCAATACCTCCGTGGCGCTGCAGTTTATCTATCTGGGCATCAGTTTCACTTGTCTTCTTCAACGGTACATAATTCCCCATCTTACATTGCTCCGACAGCCTATGAAATAGCTTGTCTATGTGTCTTTGTGTGTGTCATGTACGAGTATATGCATAGTTGTTATGGGTTTATCAAGAGTTTTTCTAATTTGTATATATGCAAGGTTTTTGTATGCTGGTGGTCATGAAGTGTTTGCAAATATGCTTGAATGAATATTGAGCTACTAATGTAGTAAATGAGGTCTTAGAACTATATTTTGTTGATCTTTGTTTACTATCAATTGTGTATAAACTTTGGTAACTTCCCAGATGCACTTCTTTTGATTTCCAGTGTTCGCAAATATGCTTGAATGGATATTGAGTCACTAATGTAGTAAATGAGGTCTTAGAACCATATGGTGTTGGTACTTTACTAGCAATTGTGTATGGTTGGTAATTGCCCAGATGCACTTCTTTTGATTTCCAAGTGTTTTCGGTACATGGATGCTCAAGTTGGAATTCTTGATTAATCAAATTTGGGTTAACTGACTTCAAATTATCATTAAAGGATTTGCCAAATGGGTGATGTGCATGATTGGGTTCCTTCTTATAACCACTTATTGTCCCTTTATGATATTCATTTGAAATTGAATGCTTTTACATGTACAACGTAGTCAACTTTGATGCCGCACTTACTAGCTTTGCTTTCTCGTTGATCTCTGTTGTGTTTCCTCTCATGTCAAGAAACTGTTTAGTATCCTGCTTTTTTTTTTTTGGTAGAAGGAGGGCTAGTGACATGATTAGAGCATGAAAATTATTACATGCCCTAAAGTAAATACATAGGCAACAGATTCAATTTGTATATTGCAACAAGCTGGTAAATGATCACCATTATGATCATGATATTGTGTCTCTTAAGCAAATAAACGAAGTGATTATTACTATTAGTTTGTAATTGTTGATTCAATGCTAGGTTGAAACTACTAGAAAATTGATGGCATAAGCCTACCAGTCCTTGCTGCATCAACTAGCTAGATGGCTTTTTTGCATCTAACACCTTTTAGTAACCTGAAGTGTTTCCTTTTGAACTTCAGACTACTGTATTATACCGAGAATTAGCTGCTCGATGTTCTCTCACCCTCTTTTTAATACTCAAAATTGTCTTGATACTTATACCATTATTAGCTGCATATGTCTTTGATTATAGAAGAGTTTTTATACCATTATTTCTGTTGTTGTTTCAGTTATACATGGCTGTGGCTCCCATATGCCATAAAATGTCCTACAAAGATCAATTTACTTTAACTGCAAAAGAAATAAAGCAGACTGCGAGAGGCTATACATGTTGCTACCCTGCCATCCAAGAGGGTTTTAGATGCTTTTCGGCAATTCCCACTGATTCAGGCAGGAAATGGTTAAGTTATACTGATATATTATTAAGAGCAAATACGAGAAAAGATGCAGATGTTTCTCAAGGAATAATTTGTAACAGAAGATCCACGACTTCCCATATGATGACTGAAGTATCTGTCTTGCCCAGGGTGCAGACGGCAGGTTGCCATTTAAGATTCAGTTGCGGTAATCTTTCACAAAGAGGACTGTGCACTGCCCAACTTTCATCAGAACCTAATTCTAACGAGAAACAATTGAAAGCACTGGATTCCTATTTCGGGAAACTCCAAAATGATGCCAGTCAGCCTTCGTCAGATTCTTTGGACAAGAGATTCGAGCATTTTGATTCAAGGGGTCAATTCAAAGCAAAAAAGTGGCTAGGATCTCTTGATAATTATCTTGCCAAAGAAAAGAAAGGTAAACAATTCAATGTGTTATTTTTCTTTTTCTTTTGTTTTATATTTTTTGATGGGTATGAGTATTTCGTTGCAGAAGATAAATTTGTGCTTTTATTGGGGTTACTTCACATATCCTTCAAGTTCATGATTCATCATAGAAGAAAATGTTTCCCGTTTAAAATCATCACCACCATATCACGATACCTGATGTGAGTTTTACTAATTGTAGATTGCAGAACGTCAAAAAACAAGTTCTTCAGATAAATTTACATGCTCTTATTAATAAATTATCAAGACTGTTTTATCTCGTTCCATTTTGCGGTCTTCAGTTTCAGTATTGCATTCTTACTAGTGCCGTGATTAGTTTTCATCATACATGCCCCAAAATTTAAGCTCGTTCTCCCTTATTATTTATTGGACTACTCAAAATTTCCCTACTGAGCTCATTTCTTGTCAACTCGCTTATTCTTTCTCATTCACCCCATCACCATAACTCCTCTTACTATAAATGTCACGTGATCTTTTCACTGGCCAACATCACGTCCATCAATTTATCACTGTTTTTACTTCTTCCATATGAATTTTCTTTTTGCTTTAACTTTTCCTGTCATCTCTTATATTATTTTTGCTTGAAATCCAGCCCATCCGAATTAAAGACTGTTTCTCACCATTGCTTTGATATGCAGGATGCTTACCAATCTATGCCCTGGTGAGATATAAGAACTGTTGCGTCGTTGCCTTTACTTTTATATATAGGTTCCATGTGTTCCCCATGATGCCATTTTTATGTTACTCTTCTCTACACATAATTAGGCAAATAATTCTTATATACACTTTCTATTCTGTTAATTATAATTCTAGTTATAAAATTATCCTCATAATGAAGGATGATCAAAAGTCAAAACCTTCTTTGATGACAAAGTACGTTTCTAATGTCCTTTCGTAGAATTTAGTCCTGTTCAGGAAAGTGAATTATCTAATGCCTTCTATTTTTCATTCAGATAGAAAGCCAAAAAACTACTTGTCATCTGCTTCTGATGGTGAAACTTCTGAAGTAGCATCTCGTTATGCCAAAAGAGATTCTGGAAGAGATGGAAGGCAGAAACTGAAAAACTATGTGGACAATAAGGATGCTGAGGGTTCATACGATGAAACCTCCGATCTCTACTTAATGTAAAATTATCCATCTCTATGAACATTGATGTGGCATAATTTCATTTGCAGCTACCTTGCACTTACCTATCAGTTAATACTTGACTCTTACCATCTGATGCTTTCACATTTCTTTTGGATGCAGAAGCATATTGGTTTCAATAGACATTGCAGTTTTTCTGTTTGAAATAGCAAGTCCAATTAGAAACTCAGATCTCTTTTCACTCCCACTGATGTATGGAGCAAAAGTAAATGACTTGATCATAATTGGAGAATGGTGGAGGCTATTGACACCAATGTTTCTGGTACAAGATTGAGGATTGGGTTCGTGTTTCCATTCTATTACCGTTCACATTTATTCATCTGATCCTAAAATGACCAGTTGTGAGAATTTTTGTGTGGACGAGTTTTTCTTCTTTGGTCAAATGATCCACTGAAACTTAATGCAATTAATATTGGTTATGGGGCATTTGAATGACCCTTAAAACTAAAAAGCAAGCTCAAGTTGCTTTCATTTATGTTGAAGGTGTAAAGCCCTTCTTTGTATAAGCTACTACAAATAAAAAATGGTATCGTGACAAATAAAATAAATAAATAAATATATATATATATATATATATATATATATATATATTGAAGTCATCATTTGATATGTTAATAATGTGCAATGGATTCATAAAAACTCATAATGGATGGTTTTTATACAGTTTGACGTCCAATTTAGATCTTAAATTTTCTTATGTTCATATCCTGAAAATTTTATATTTGCAGCACTCAGGAATTCTTCATGTAGCCCTCGGTTGTTGGGTTCTTCTTACTTTTGGGCCTCAAGTTTCAAGAGTATATGGTTCATTCACATTTTTCTTAATATATATCCTCGGGGGAATTTCTGGCAACTTGACCAGCTTTCTGCACACACCGGAGCCAACTGTTGGTGGGACTGTAAGCAACATCAAACCTTTTCTTATGTTATATATATATATATATATAATATATGTATGTATAATAGTATTCCCCATATTTTTATTTATTTATTTTTGTCTATTTATTTTTTCCTCGTTTTCCAAATTAGATTGGATGACTGATCACGTGACACTACTATTAAGTTGATAACCTTATGCTAATCATGTTTAATTAACACCATGAACCAGTAGTTTTACCTCATTCCTTTCCATAGACTTCAAACTCGAATGCCTCATTATTGCATTATTACTATCCTGGAAAAACTTGGCTTCATAATATATTTTAAAGTCTATATCTGATTAACTCTATATAAAATCATTGTGCAAATGGTAATGAATACATAATCACACTTAATTTAGATTTAGAATAATCATAGCTTAGTTGTCTTGGGCTCTTTGTCTGATTCTGTGAAAATGGCCTTCTATAGAATATACTGAATACATCCTTTGCCTCCAACGGTAAACCTGCAAAACTTTTGGAGATCATATTGCTTTGAATGGTACACTTCATACAAAAGAAAAGTGTCAGAAACTGGAAATAATTTGCAAATGAAATTTTTCCATAAGTTCAGATATAGTGCTAAAGTCGGCTTGTTTAAGGATCCTAAAGTCAGCTTGTTTAAGGAACCGGCTAACTGAAACATGAATTTGATTTCAGGAAATAGTTTACAGTACACTGGATTGAATTTAAGGTTAACAATTTGCTTCTTGAGAATTTATTCAATTGTTAAAGCCACCAATAAATTTGGTTGAGGTTCAACAAGATCTATACCCATTCCCCAACCAGAGGTGTTCCATCATCCATGTTAAAAATGATCATCAGTTACTTATACTGCATGTCTTTCTTAATTCTTTTTCTGAACATTTTTGGTTTAACGAAGACATTTGCATGCTCAGGGGCCAGTCTTTGCCATAATCGGAGCTTGGCTTGTTTATCAAATTCAAAACAGAGATGTACCCACAAAGGATGTTTCTGAAAGCATGTTTCAGAAGGCAATAATTGCTACTGCTCTCAGCTTCGTCTTGAGCAATTTCGGTCCAATTGATGACTGGTCAGTTTTCTACTACTTTGAAATGATTTATGTTTGAATTCCTAAAACTGAAAACGTAGAGGCAAAGCTCCCTATGTAAATAAAAATGCAGTGGGTATGCGGTTTTTGGTGCAACGATTATGAGCAAACCCATTACATCTGAAACATTCTTGTTGGTGTTAATTGTTGCAGGACCCATTTTGGAGCAGCTTTTACAGGCGTAGTATACGGCTTTCTCACGTGCCCAACGCTGCAAGTGGAGGATTCATCAAAAACTGGTCAAGAAGAAGGAATCACCCTTGTTAGGCGATATGCCGATCCTTGTAAATCACTTATAGTATTCTCCCTCTTTGTTCTGCTTTTAAGCTCCTTGGTTTTTATTATCGACCCTCCTCTCAACTCACTGGCAGATGACATCTCTATATAGACATCGAAATATGGTAACATATAGCAATCTTTTATGTAGCATAGAACTCTCGTGTTGGGAAACAAGTATGATTATTTGTAAATTTGGAATAATGTCATTGTTTATAGCCTTCATTTTCACCAGTTTTAGTAAATTTCATTAACCTACAATTTCAGTTGCTTGATGTGATGTGGTTAAGTAGAATTGAAGGCTCTATTTGTTGCAATAACTGTAACCAAAAACAAGGACCGTCTTTATGCTGTTAGAAAAGATAATTAAAACCACTGAAATATAAAAACCAATTCATAGTGTTTCTGTTTTTAAAATTATTTTATTGTTCATTGCAAGGTGTAGAAGTCTCAATATCTATGCTTTTTCAAATAGGGCCTATTTGATTTCCAAATGTCACACTTGCAATTCAGCAAGAGTTCAATCTAGTTAAATGCACAAGTTCTGCTAGAACCTAGAAAATACTCATATCTTGTATATTCGTTTGTACAAAAAAAAAAAATTTAATAGAATGAGGTGGTTCATTTGATTTCTCACTTTTTAACAATATGGCAATGGATACTCAGTCCCATCTAAATTCTAAAATATTACTCCCTATGCACCTGGTACAATTAGCAGTAAGCTTTATACTGTATTTTTGGAGGAGTTGAACTCAAATCTCTTCAACTGTTATCACATTTTCTATACTTTCAAACAGAGTATAGTGTGCGTGCGTGCGTGTCATGCAATTTCCTAAAACTTTTGTTGTTGGAAGTTCATGCAATTTACTAAACTTTAGACACAATTTACATCTGTGCAGTTCTATCTGTAAAACAATTGCTTTATCAACGCAAGAAACATTGCTGCACAAAAACATAATCTTACTGATAATTACCCTGACCTTTCGGGAGAACACAGATACACACAAACATGAAATGTAAAGAATAGATATCTCATTCATCCCAACATGTTAATTGCACCAAATCTGTAATAGCATTCAAATAGAGACCCATATAAATATCAGATTGCCAATGCTCAATTAGCAATTTAGCGTTAATACAAGTTTATCAGGAATGGTAAGGTAAACCAAAAGTTTATCATGAATTCCTGGGTTTACAGAACTCTAATCAATTAGGCTTTAGATCAGACCTTTTGATATTCTCACTTCATAGTAACTGTTCAGATTCGTCAGCATGCCATTCTACTACTGCCAGTGTATGCCGGCCACCACAAGCAACAAGTTTAGCGCTCCAATGTCCTTCGGCTTCAATGCCACTGAGATTCCTTGGAGGTGGGAGGTTTATGGGCACATCATCAGGATGACCAGTAGTCAACTTTCTCCCATATCCTAGACGCCCATGGTCACCTCGCCCAAACTGCCAACAGCAAAGCCGGTCAACATATCATAATATTTCTAACTGCTTTTAAACATCACATTTTACTTGTCAATTAAAGAAAATACACGGGATATCAAATTAAAGAAATCCTGACAAAGCCTAAATGTATTAGGAATATTCAGGAATTCATAAGGAAAAAAGGAAAAAGGAAAAAAGAACAAATACATGCAACACAACCCAGTAAGGTTGAACAAAGTAGGATTACTGGTCTTCGGATGAACTGCAACTGTAATTAGAGGCACTGAACCCATAGTCATTACATGTTGGTTATGTACGTTGGTGGTCATATGATGAGCTTTTGTGTTGAGTTTCTACTCATAAAAAAGTTATTGAATGATGAAAGAATGAGTACTTACTGAAAACATGCGGCCATCACGAGTAAGTGCAACAGAATGTGTGCCCCCACAAGATACCTGAATCACGAATGAACATATATAACTTCAAACTGTTTAATGGATTAAGAGTAAAACCTTAATAAATAACGAAAAATGACAATGAGTACATAACAGTTGTTTACACAAATGCTATGGAAATCCTATACACCATACAGGATTAGAATCAGTATCAGTGCTTTTTAATAACTGAATGGAGTCATTTTCAACTATGTAAATCACAACAAAAGCTTTTCATTTCCAGAGGGCATTATTCAACCCTTCATTTGTTTGTGAGGAAACTTGAATACAAGAGAAAAGAAAAAGAAAATTGAATTTTTGGGGTTTATAATGTTGTTTGAAAAGAAAAAGAATCCATATATCCCCCAAAAACCATTTCTCTTGGAAACCCATGTTCTAAAGATTTGCTTGGCTTGCAGGTTAATCGTCAACGCGTTTGACCCGGCATGGGGCTTCATGAACTGGGTGAGTTTTCTTGTTTATATTAAATAAACAATTTGGGCTGAGATAATCTGAAAACCTTTGAAAGCCCAAGGGATGGTTACCACTCCTCTCTCTAAGACAGCAACAACTACCAAGCCTATGGCTCAAATCTGATCATTGAAACACCAAAATTTTCTATCCTCTCCAACTAGACCAGGTCTTTCTCAATCCATTATCTTTTCTCAACTTCTTTAATGCCCTGCAAAACTCCTTTCTGCAATTTTTCAGTCCTCACTCAAACTCACTCCAAAGATTATCATAATCTGAAAGGGGTTTTGGTTATCATTATCAAACTTTGAGAATAGTTAATTGGATGATTTAATAGCTGATCTGTTGTCTTCTTAAATTTTTTATAAATATTTAAGAATTATTTTTAATTCTCAAATATATCAAGAGATGTCCAGATCTTCTAAGATGGCATTAAAATTCTTTTGAAAGTTGTTATTTTATTGATTTTTATTATTTTCTAAAGGCAATGTAATTATAACATAAAATTACATCACAGTTCAATTCTGGTCTACATCACAGTTGAACTGCTGACCCTCAACCCAGTCTCTTTTCCGGTTTGATGAACCTGGACCGTTCATCAAACTTGGTCACGTCTGAACTCTGAATATAGAGAAACCCATCATAATTAAGCAACATAGAAGTAATGGGCTTATTGGAAATGTGGTTTTCACTTCCTCAGATCCCAAAAAATGGAAAAAAAAATTCCTACTACTGTCCAGCAAATGAAAGAGCATTAATATAAACCGATAGTAAAGCTCCATTCAGGATACATAGTGCATGCAAGACCGACCGTTAACAAAGCATTTGCAAACTTTAACCAATCATTTAGTGTTTTTTTGTCACTTTAGCAGTTCAACTCCTTTTTTAAAAAAAAAAAGAAAAATGGAACAAGTATACTACATATTACATGTAGAATACTTGTAGGATTTTGAAAGGTGATCATTTTTAATTGTTATTATCGTTATTAGTGATGCAATTCTAAAGGATAGCTGTGTGCCTTCAACTGAAAGAAAAAACATCAAGATGATGTAATTTGATGTGGCATCACAAAGGCGAACCAATCAATAAGCTATCGATGGGATAGAAATGTACACAGCACCTGAACAATGTCCTGCCCAACTAGAAGTTGAACTCTTTGGGGCACCATTTTACTGCTCTTGTCGTCTCCAAATCCAAGCCTTCCATGTTCCCCTCTACCCCAACCATAGACCTGTAATGTAAAAAAGCTTAAAATTAATAAAAAGTCTGATAATAATATCACAACTTTCACAGCTTGCTATATTGAGCCTTTCAAATCCCTGGAGTCATGGAGCACCTCATTCAGAGTTTTGGGGAGCATATGCAATCAACAAATATCACAGCAATTGCAAAAGGGAAACATAAATATACAGGAATTGGTGGTTATTTGCATTTTTTAATCCACTAAAACACTCAATTTAATGGTTACTGACTCCATTTTAATATGCATATCAAACAAATAATTAATTTTCCAACACACTTCAAAAGCTTATCATGTGATTAGGGATGGGCAATTTGACCCCATTCCGGCAGGTTTAAGCCTGACCCACCCCTAATGGGATGGATATGGTAAACAATTTAACAGGGAAGGGCAAGTTTGGGTTAAATGAATTAAACCTGATCCAGGTTCAGGGTGGGACCGGGTATATAATTGTTCCGTCCCATTCCGCCCTTGTATTAATTTTATGTTCCTTGAAACCCTTATATATATCTCATTTCCCTAGGGTTTCCAATAAACACCTCTCTGATCCTCTCAAACCCTCAGCTGACCGCCCCCACCACATACGATCAACGATCTCCTCTTCCACAACCCAGTCCTTCCCTGTTCATTCATTACCCTCAATCACACACACAATAACAACTCCACATTGAAAGGCCTCAGACCCACACTCAAAGATCTTCAACATTATCTTTGATTTGCAATTAAAGAAGATGTCCAATCATCACCAAAAACCTCTTCTCTCTTCTAGGATAGGCATAACAACTTTGCCAAGAAGAATAAACGAAAAAATACCTGGGGTTGTTTGCCAAGAATAACAAACAAATGAACAAAATGTCAAATCATATGACAGCTTGGGATCAGAGTGACCTTGCAAAATTCTAAGTTCAGTTTATGTACTTTGCAATTGCATCAATAATGAATACAAATGACCTTTCACCAACGGATTCACAATCTTAAGAATGATAAAACATTTTTTTTTCCCATTTGAAACTCACACACCCCTCCAAGGAATTTTTGCACCCAAGAGGAGTCGAACTTTAGACCTGATGCTTCATGAAGCACCAGAGCCAAGTACTTACCCACTTGAGCCAACCCCTTGGGGTTGAAAGATAAAACACTTAAGAAATATGCAATTCCTTACTCCTGCAAATTAATATCATAGGAAAATTAAATGAGGAAACAGCATACTAATGAAAGAAAAGGAAGATGATAGAGCAAATGTCCCATATGGATATACAAGTGAGGACAGGGTATATGCAGATGACGTCATTAATTCTTCAAGTCAAAAAGGAGGAATATTTGTTTGAATATTGACGCAATGAGTTGACGGCAAAACTATTTAACCTTAAAAATTAAAAGATAGTACGGACAATAAATAAAGCACATATATAAAAATTATACACACACACATCAAGTTAATTTAGAACAATTGCATGACTCTAATGACAGTCAATTTCTAGAATAAGTGAGTCAATTTCTAGACCCTAATTTCTAGGTTCTGTAGTGAGGTTTCAAAACTACTTTCGAATGGGGAAACATATGAAAGTCTCAGACTCTAGTACTCCCCATCAAACCTTGTTCCCACCAGAAATAAATAAATAAATAGCACGTTCTTGCTGGGGCTCCAAACATGGCAGTCAAATCACTATTCAGGGGGAAAACACCTAGTGGTCAAATCATACATCCTATTGCACATGAACTGTATCCTCTATCACATTGTATCATGCCAAAAATAAAATAATAATAATAATAATAAAGTAATAAAAATATCTCACACTAGGAAACTGTGATGTTTTTTCCCGTTTTTTCTCTTGCGGATCTTGGACCCTGTTTAGGACTCTCCTGTAGCCCAGTATATAAGGGCGTTTAGGGTTTGGAGTAGGATACGAGAGAACACTGAAAACCACACGAAAGAAAGTGAGAAAGAGGGGACTAAAACTTGTAATCTCTTGATTTTCCCATAGTGAAATCTTTCACCCGATCTTCACCATGGACGTTGGCTTACGCCAAACCACGTAAATCTTTGTGTCCTTTGTTTGTGGTGTGTTTACTTTTTCAGTCATGATTCTTGATTTGTTCTTGGTTCACGGCATTTGTCGCAATAGAAACAAAGATAAAAAGTAACTATGTAAGCATTCAAAATCCCTATTTTGAGATCCAATATTAAAATTAGAATTTTGTTCAGGGATTTTTTTTTTTTTTTTTTTTTCCCCCTAGTTTTAAGGGATTATTTTTGTGAGTAAAAAATAAAGATACTTTTTGGTAAGGTGTTTTTTTTTTTTTTTTTTGGTGGTGGGTTTGGTTTGTTGGGGATTAAGGACAAAATAATGATTTTGCTCAGACCATTGCATTGATTTATAAAGTTTCTACGAATTACATTAAAAGTTCAAATGTTCCAAATGAGACACTTTACAGGAGAAAAAGTGAGTGGGCAAATGCTATTGTACTTGTCTCCAATAACTATACAATATGTTTCTTGTAAATACTCTAAGAAATCATTTAAGATATCAACAAGAAACATCATACATGAGCTATTGAAAATATATATAAAAAAAGAAGTAGAATAACTAGGCTCCCTATAACGTATGGCACAACAAATGGTGTTGAGAGGGGGAGAGAGCAATTGTTGTGACATAGAAGAACGTTCAGGTCTTTGCTTTAGGTTGAACACCTTCACAAGGCGTTCTCAATAAAATATTCAAAACAACTAAAATTTCTGGACATAGCCACACAGTTATAGTTTTCTAATGACAAATCTAAATTTTTATGATAGTTGTACATGGCCATGTTCCAGTAGAACCAGCTAATATTTGTGGGTTGTGATTTCTAGTTTGATTTTAAGTCTCTTGCTCTCCTTCCATCCTAACATTTCACTTCTCTTCTTCAATTTCTTACACCCTAAGGTTTAAAATCAAAACCCTCTAATATTCCACCTGAGATTAAGAATCTGTAAATCTTTAAGATTCTCCTCCATTACCCCCACCAACGATTTACTGCATGATCCAAATCATAAATTGGGTAGTTCAGATTAATAGAAAAAAATTCAAGAATTAACTGATATCTAACTTTGAGGCCACATTCACAAGACAAGGACTTTTTGGTTGACTAGAGATGAGTATTTTAAAATTAAACATTACTGGTCCTCTTCTGGCTTCTTTGCTATGGGAGTTGGCTTTGTGTCGTCAACCCTTTGGTCAGGAGTTCAAGGATTGGTAAAGAGAGAGGAGAAAACTAAACATGAACTCTACAATGGACTTCTGAAACCTTTAACATGAATTAACTGCACTTAGTGCATAGTGCATATTCTGGTACAAACAATATTGTAAACAGAAGAACAGCAATTCAGGAAGACAGATCCCTTCCCCATATGACCGACTCCGATTCCAATTTTGCTATTCATTTGGTCAATCCCCTCTTAAAGGATAGTGGATACCTTCCTGTGAAAGATGTCATGAACACAGATCAATTGCCTACTTAGGCAAGTAATCCATCCAGGAAAGATAGAAAGAAACAGCAGAGTCATGGCACCCTTTAGGACTGTGAAGTGTATCCAATTCACCATTTTTTGTTCTCATGTGAGAATTTAATATAACATTCCCCCAAGTAAAACCAAATATATATATATATATATGTTCTTTCCTTTTCTTCTTTGACAAGTGTAATACAGACACCAATGTCTTGGGCAGTGAACCCTGCACCTTCCACTAATGATCTGGCAAAGGATACTGCTCAAGCAAGATAGTTAGTGGTCAGCCGAGAACCATACTGCTGATTTTGTAACTCTGCTTTTGACAGAGAAGATAAAGGAGGGATACTTGCGACTTCTAAGAGTTAAAAATTAATTGCCTCCTGAATTGAAGACAAATCACAAAAAAAGCTAAAAATAGTCATTTGCAAAGCTATGTTACATGGACTATTCTAAAGTAGGCAACCTGTATCGGGGACACAATACTCAGACATGGATATGGGAAAGGTATCCGACACTTTTGGTTGGATATGCACTTTAAAAACATATCCAACACTTCAACTTTATTATATTATTACTTCAAATTGAGTGAAATGCCTATATTGAACACTATGTTACATAAAGACATTATTTTACTCAAATTATCACTATATTTATTCCTTTTTCTACTTCTTCTTCCAAGTGCCGGATAACCCTAAGGGATTTATGTTTGGTATAGAGAATGATCTTCTCCTTTGAGAATAATAAAAAATGGAAACTGCACAGTCCCCTGATAAGCACTAGTGGTAGCAAAAGTTTACAAGTGAAGAAGAAGCTAAATCTGCTTGCCAGGTTAAAATAATAATAATAAATAAATAAAAAGGCAATCTAAATCAACAACACATGATATTCTACAAACTCATCTTTCCAGCAGTTGCGGATGTGACGCCGTTAACATTCAATCAATATTCAGATTTCCATCCTTACTAAATTTTTAATGGTTGCTGATAAAGTTAAAGAAGTGTTTGTCAAAGATAAAAATACTTATGACTTCTAAGAGTTAAAAACTAATACCTACTGAATTGAAGATAAATCACCAAAAAAGCTAAAACTAGTCTATTTGCAAAGCATAAAAGGCATTTCAGTAATCGGATCAAGGCATATACAAGCACTAGGTGGTAGCAAATAAGGCAAATATGAGCACTAGTGGTAGCAAAACTTTACAAGTGAAGAAGAAGCTAAATCAACAACACGTGATATTCTACAAACAAGTCTTTCCAGTAGTTGCAGATGTGACACCGTAAAAATTCAATCAATATTCAGATTTCCAACACTAATAACAATATTTAAGGTGCTGATAAAGTTAAAGGAGTGTTTGTCTATAAAATAAGAATTTAGATGGGCGTCCAAACAATAGATGATAACAATACAAAATACAGTACCATCAATGAACGTCGTAAGCAAATGAAAAATGGCAAATACCTCTCCTTCTTCTGTCAATGCAGTAGAATGCCATCCTCCAGCAGCAATGTCAACCTGGATGTGGATAGATAAGACGCACTATAAGCATGAAATAATCAATGCCTAATCTGTCTTCGGGATACACATTAATAACCAACAACAAAAATGTCTAGGGCAGAGTTGGAATAAAAAACTCTTTGAAACAAAACGATAACTGCAAAGAAAGTATGTTTCATTTTACTCTTAGTCCATGACACAAGGACTCTTCAAAAATAGGTGAAGTACCCATGTTGGACACACAATACTTAGACATGTGTCCGACACTTTTGGTTGAGCATGCTCCTAAAAACTATATCCAATGATTCAATTTTATCATATTTTGGCTTCAAAATGAGCCAAATGCCTATATTATACACTATGTAACATTAAGAAAATATTTTACTTCATAAAATAAATTAGAAATATTAAATAGTATGAATATTTAGCCGTGCCTATGTATCCTTTCGTTTGGGAATTTGATCTGTCTAACGTTTACATACATACCCACACCTAACGTGTACAGGAGTCCAGGTAACATAGCTCTTGGTTTTGTCAATAGATTTCATATCAGTGCTTCGAATGCTGGCGAAAGCTTAAAGAAAGAAACTATTATTCAAGCAACTTAGTTGAGCAACATGTCTCCAAAAAAGAAAAAAGAAGACGATAATAAAGTTATAATAATGTTCTTACAAACTTATCCCATTTCTACCAACATTTGCATCACTGACATCACTTCTTTTACTTAAGATCTCTGAACGACTTCTTTAGGAAGTTACATACATTGACAACTCTGTATTCCACAATCATTTGTGCCTTCACATATATTATTATTTTTATTAGACTTGTTCACATACAAATTCAATAAGTGGACGTATGTATTATCGCAAATTTCCGTTTAACAAATCTGAAAAAAAATAAAATAAAATAAAATAAAAATACTCCAAGGTGGAAGAGACTGCTGAAGTTGGTATAGCAGAGTTTCCCACCAAATTACCAAAATATATTAATTTAGCAGTCATACATCCAGAAGAAATTCGGACGAAACCATATATCTGACCCAATAATCCATAATTAAAATGAATTATACATATAGATAAAGTAGAAAGAAATACCAAGGACCTTGTGGCCTAGTGGTATCTCCTCTACCTCATAAAGTGGATAGTGAGAGTTCGAGGAAAAAAAAAAAAAGCAGCAAGAAATCATAAAGGGTAATACAAACCAAAGTAAGACCAGACAGCCCCTGTACAGGAATAGGATGTGATCTTGGCTGGGTATCTCCCGTTCCAAGTTGTCCATATTCATTATTACCCCATGCCCATAAAACTCCATCCTCAAGGAGAGCCAGATTATGAAAAGCTCCAACTGCAATTAGCCTCACCCTTTCAAGGCCTTGTACTCGCACAGGAGTGGAAATCTGTTTTCTATGAAGGAGGAAGAAAAAAAATCAAAAAGGCAAATGCAGCAAGCTATCTTATATTGAACATCAGAAGGTTATTTAAAAGGTTTGAAAAAAATCACAGAACATATGGGAATGGTGGTATACATGTCTCCCGGAGGCCATGGTTGACCCCATGTCCATACATGTCCTTCGCGTGTAAGCACAACTGAGTGTGTGCCTCCAGCAGCCACCTAAAATGTAAGAACTTAACGGATGTTAATCATCAATCAATGGGTAGGCAAGTCATTTAAAACTGGCATTCATATTAAGAAGGTGAGAGGGTGTAAAGTATTTGTTTCTGCGACCACAGAAATGGAAATCTTCAAATTGATTAACATATTTCTTGCATACTTTCATCATGATACGAATTTTCAGAGTCAACCTCATATTTTAATTTCTATCAACTTACCACACAAGAAAAATGGGGCTATGCTGCTTACCACATTTTTGAGTAATAAAAGTTATTGGACGAAGACTCAATATGATCCAAGCATCCAACAACTACTTATGGGTATTCATTGATATATTGCATAATTACCTGGCGAACAGAAAGCTTTGCTGCGCATCGCTGTGGAATCACAATATCCCTCCTCAAAGGCCTACCACTGTCATCTTTCCGTTCAGGTTCTTCACCACATTGCCCATATTCATTACCACCTACACAAACATACTTCATATCTTAAAGCAAATGCCCCAAATAAATTTCTAATAGATGATTCAACTACAAATTGGTTTAGTTATAAAACAAATGTACAAAAAAAAAAAAAAAAAAAAAAAGAAGAAGAAAACAAATTGAAAACCTCAAATGCAACATGGATAGCATAAAGAAATTCTTTCCTTTGAAGATTGATAATTAATTTGATTTTCGCTCCCAAAAGCAAGATACCGTGTTGCACGGAGACAAACATTACAAAATGGAAGAGCAACACCAAAATTTCTAAAGAACAAGAACATGAGCATGGCAATTATTTGATATTGCATAGATGTATGTATATCCATGTATGTTACGGAAAAGTATCATCTTTCTAGTTCACCAACAGATTGTATTTGACTTCTATCCTAATATGGACAAATTATACGAAGATGCTTACATAATTGTAGTCTTTATGCTACAAGAAACCATGCCAAGAGTCCCAGGTGTGAGAAACACGTGATAGAAAGAGCATAAAAAAATGTTTGCCAATTGTCAAAAATTAGATACATCCTAAATGCAATCAACACTCTCCGGAGTGTATGAGAAGTGTCCACATCCGACATCCAACAAAGACATGTCTTCCAGAATAGTCCTTGGTTTTGAGGAAAAATATGTAACTTCAACATTCTTGTATCTAGAAAGGAATAAAACTTAATTGTCTACTGAAACGTGCAAAGCACAAATAGTTTCCCAAACTTAATTAACTTTTTCATTTTCCATAAAGAAAAAAACAGTGTAGAAGATAGGACTCAAATTTGTACTTCTAATATTGGCAACCAAAGTGGAGGAAGGTAAAAGAAAATTAATAACAAATACCCCAAGCATAAGCTCGGCCTTGATCATCAACAGCCAAACAATGCCACCCACCAATAGCTGCCTGCAATCAAGAACCCACCAGTAAATTCCACTTACAACAGTAACATTTACTCCACTTTTCAATTCAAACTGATATATTGGAATTACCTGGACAATTTTTACATGGGCAAGATCTTTAACCTGACTAGGAATGTTCTCTGTTTTAGTCTCAGGTGGGTGTCCTAAAGTTCCTCTTTGGTTCCAACCCCAAGTAAACAACTGATAAACACCCAATTGAAAAAGAACAATAAAAATCGTCTAACTTGTTAACAAACAATTCTATCGAAGTAATCTATCAAATTTCAACCGATTAAAAAAAAAAAAAAAAAACCCGAAATCAACCTAACAATTAGGGATGAATATGAAGAGAAGAAATAGAACCTTGCCATCTTCACAAATGGCGAGTGAGTTGCGACTTCCGGCGACTACATAGCGGACATTTTGGGAGTCAAGAGATTTGATTGTGCAAACCAGGTCTTTCTCTTCGTCGTTGCCGATTCCCAACTGCCCGTCTTCTCCGGAGCCCCTGAGAGTAACACAGGAAAGAAAGGGTGTTATTCTGTTTGGAGAGAAAATGTGTAGAAAGAGAAAGTGTGTGAGAGAGAAGCAGACCATGCGATAACGGCGGTATTGGAAGCCATCGAAGACGGTAGAGAAAGAGTCCTTGGAACAGGGGAGAAGCCGCGGAAGGAGGAAGAATAGAGTGATTTATACCATCATTTTAGTGCGGCAACTTGAGTGCGAATCCAATTCACTTATTCGATTACTCGTATATAGTATTTTACAAAAACAGATGATAATAATAATAAAATAAATATTTTATATAGTATATTAAATCTTACAAGTCACCCTTATCATGCTTCTTTTAAAAATCATGATCCAATTCATAAAAAAAGATTTTTTCTGCAGCGGTGGTGTGGATTCAATCATACAAGATTGAAATAATTACTATGATAATACAAAAAAAAATCCTTCCACAATTTGATATTTTAATGGCACATTTATTTGGTGGATAATTCCACGATGAAAACAGATGAAATTAATGGGAGAAAATTAAAAGAGAATATTTAATTACATAAACCTTATGATGTCGTTTTTATTATTTCCAGTTATATTTGTAAATTTTATTTTTCACTCATTTATTTTTCCTCTCAAAATCCACAATCCACAAATCAAATAAAACACCAAAACAAAATCAAACCTAGTTACTTGGTACTTACTGGAACCAAGTTACCATTTCCATTTTGGTTTATTTTTTTCCTTCACATTGAGTCCACAAATCTCAAAAAAAAAAAAAAAAAGACCAATTCTATACTGGAAAAACAATAATTCCCCAGGCTTCGCCCATGTCAAATTGAGTATCATTTATTCCCTAAGCCAGCAATTCGCCAGTACTTCAGTTGGCCACAGAAACATAAACGTTAGAATTACTTGCTTAGATCAAGTCTAAAATTATACATTGCCGAGTATAAAGTAATATCGCATCATACCAGTAACTTCAAGCCATGTGTTTCAATCAGCGCTGTAATTACAAAACAGCTTCACAGGCGCTAAATTAAATCAGTCAATTAAATGATAGAGCGCACACCTCATGGACAGTGATAACAACCTCCCCAACCTCAAGGACAGATTATTACCTCCATCACCTTCCGGATCCCTTTGTACGGGATAACAGCAAGGAGGATGATGACGATCTTCCTGATTCAGTGTGACCACAAAGGAATTTAACAATAAAACGCACAAAAGCAATTACAACCACAACCAGATTTTCATACTGAACAACGAAATGCTGATTAAAGCATCATAGAATTGCCACATCCACGACAAATTTCCACACGAAACAAGAAACTACTGATTAAAGCACAATACAAGCTTATAATCTGTAATAAATTTGAACCCCAAGCACACAACTAGCACTGAAGATCTTCAAATTCATTAAGTTTTTGCTACAACCACGTAAATGGAACCTACAATAAGGTCACAATTGACAAGTACAGAGTACATCTCCTCCTACAAACTCGTCACTGCTGCCCCTCACCAGACTCCCGTTTTGAAGTTTCCTTGATCTCATCCCCACCTTCATCCTGAAATCAGAAATTTTATATCACAAAGCAGCAAAATCATGATAAGAAACTTTCCCGGGAAAATATTAACAATAAGAAGAAAATTTAGAGAGACAGAAGTGCACTTGCAAAGATAAGTATATATATATGGAAGTTACAGGGGCACTGACTTCTACTTGGATCCATAGTATTTGGAACCTTGCTATATAGCCCAATGCCCCGACCCCAAGTCCAGTACACTTCATGGACCCATTCGAAGGCGTAACAAGTGAGGAAAAATACTCTGGTTCTCTGACCCAACTCATGCTAAATTTAGAAACCTGTTTTTGGTTGCTAGGCCCATGTCATGGTAATTTACTTTACAGCCTACTCAAATCTATATTGGAACTTTCCAGGTTCAGTTTGTATCACTCATCAGGTTACTGCTCTTATCACACATCAGATTAACCTCTCATTGCCAAATTCAGGTTTAACATTTAAAAAACAGAGCCCTCCCCAAGTTGAAGTAATGGGTGGCAGGGACAATGCACAATGGCACAAAAACATGTACTTGATCCGTGATGATGAATAAAGCCATGAAAAATTGAAGTGTATGCAAGTCGAGTTCAATTTTAGCAAGAAACATATATCAAACATGCACAACTAAACACGCGGGTGTGCACTGGCGCGCACACAGGCGCACACACACACACACACACACACACGGAGAAAGAAAGATACCGTGATATCAGAAGTCCACAATGTCAGATTGTCTCGAAGAAGTTGCATGATCAAGGTGCTATCCTTGTATGATTCCTCGCCCAACGTATCTAACTCAGAGATAGCCTCATCAAAAGCCTGCCAAAGAAAGGAAAAATGAGTTATATAAATAGAACAAAATCAAGTAGTTCAGATGCAACTGAAAGCCACCGCCCCAGTGGATGCTGTCTCCATTCCAAAGTTATAAGGATCACCACAGGCTCATGTTTACAGTATTCTCACCAAAAGCAAAAGGACATCATTAGCTTTGAAGGTAAAGATTCACAACTTTAACAGCCACAGGGATATGCATATTGAAAAAAGGCCTAGAAACCTGGGAAATTTTAAAAGCTCGTATCAATTATACATGAACATTGGGTGTGTCCCCAATATAGGTACAGGTTCAAGTGTCAGATTTATCATATCCCCAAGTCCAAAGACATGACCTGGCAATAACATTCTTCTTTTTATTTCATAGGTGAAGTGGTTCATGCAACATAAGAAGTTCAGAGTGGCACTTTACTCATGTTAAAGGAACCATTCAATAAAAGAACATGGTAAGGTGGATTTTCCCTCTTGTAGTAAGCTTAAACATATTAAGCCACAAGCCCATGACAATTAACATAATTTATATCAACAAGCATATGGCAACTAAATTGCAGCCAATTTGATAAATGTATTTTTTTTTTCAAATACAAGTAGATAAAAACATATCTATAAGCGAAAGCATGAAATAAGTACTAAACATTATATGAATTTGCAATCAGTAATCACCCTTTTATTACAAAGAACTCAAGGGTAACAAATGATCTTTATAGAAAACTACTATATTAACTAAAAAGAAAATAAAATAATAATAATAATAATATACACATAATATACTAATATCCACATATCAAAGATGTGTTTTATGTTGCCACAGTAGCATTCTTGGAATGTCAACCAAACACATTCTCTCTAAAGCCTTCAAGCAATCAATGACTACAGGGTGATTTTGCTTACAAAAAATATATATAAAAAATAAAAATAAAAAATTTGAAAATAAAAATAGAAAGCTTATAATCCTTGTCCTGATATTGAGATTATTTGCCAAGACATTCACCTTTCCTAATATTGGCACTTCCTAAATAAAAACCCAAACATAAATATTATTTTACTTCAATCCCCATAAAACATAATTGATGTCACTAACATTCAGACAAACCCTCTCACAAATCATTAATCAGAGAAAACAAGACAGATAAGAAAGCCAAAGCAACTCTTCAATATCCAACCTAATACTTGCAAACCATAGAAACAAATTCATGATAGTCCCCAAGTGGAAAAGAACAACTTAATTACAAACCTAGTAAATAAAGGTAACGGAATGAGACAAGATAACCCAACTTCCTTCAAAAATGAAAATTAAAAAAAAAATGACTCTCACACTACAACACTTAGTTGGAAAGTAATCAAGCTAGGGCTTCAATCTGGGCGGTTAGACTTTTGAAGACCAAATCATCTAGTAAAAAATTATAATGAATGACAATGACACCATTCATCAGCTGATTATTGAAGGAAAAGAAGGAATCACATGGAAAATTGACAATCAGGTCCAAGAGAATGAACTCTTGCGATGATACAAGACATTAGGAACTAATGTAGAGCCAAAAATAATATATATATATATATATACACACACACATATATCAAATTATAGATAAAGGCAGGAGCATTGGTCAGGCCAAATGGCATATAACGCTATACTTTAACGCACCGTATTCGGTAAAATGGTAGTCTTTCGCTCATCTCCAGCTTCTATTCTTACTTTATAGTACCCGGAGCATAAGTCCAGCACTCCAGCTTAATGAAAAAAGTGGCCTTACCCAAACCTTCAAACAAGTCACACCAGTGGGACTGGGTATGTACTTTTCAACGTCCAAAGGACCTTTACTTTCAATTGACAACTGCCTCTTCCTGCTGCGGGGGTGTTACATGAAACCAAACCACCCCGCGCCCAATCAAGTACCAGTTGCTTTGCTAGTAGGCCCACTTAGGTCAGTGAGGCATTGTCCATTAGATCTTACCAATCTCCGGTGTGTGATCAACATGTTTCTAGCTTTAACTTGGTCGAGTAAAAATCATTGATTCTCCAAACAAATAGCGGAGTCAAATAAGAAAGGCTTCTTCAAAGCTCCCCCATCAAAAACCACCCTATGCTTGAATTTCAGAACATAAGAGAGAAGCATATATCACAAACTGAACTTTAGAATACAAGAGAAAATCATATATCACAAATAAAAAGAAGAAAATGATGCCTCGACCCAAGATATTTTCAAGAAAATTCACAAGTCTCCCCTCAATTCAAATTAGAATTCCAACCATTAAGACTACAGGCACATTTGGACACAAAACAAACCTCCCCAAGCACTTGTTAAGTGTAGGCTCCCACAAACCACAGTAACAATATCTTAACCTCAACAATAGAACTGGATTTAGGTCCAAAATATAACTGGATTTAATGACCCTAAAAATCCATCAATCCCCCCTCTACTCCATAATTGAGACAGCAGAGACAAACTAGAACTTTGCCCATTTCGTAACAATCCCATTGGGATGCATTTCTTCATGGATCTTAATCCTTTCCAAGAACATCAAGAAGCTCCACAAAATGGGATACCATCATGAAAAGCAAGTTGCATATTACCAGATAAAAAAGGCAAAAGCAGCATCCAGTGTGGAAATGATAAAGTAGAGGGTAAGAATTAGATCTATTATTGAAATGTTGGATGGCATAGAAAACATCATCTCCAATTTGAACAAGAACCAGAAACAGTCTCAGGTGCAGCAGACTGAGGATTTATTAGTAATCAAACCTAATGCATGTAAGAAGAATCTAAAAAAAGAAAAGAAAAAAGGGGGCAATAACTAAGGCTCCCAAATAATAAGTCATTTTGTTGTCCCCCTTCTTCTCACTACAGAAGCTAATTAAATTGAAGCTTCCACAAAGTCGATCCACTTTGACCTACAGATTCAGGACCTCAAGGCCAAAATAATAAAGAAGCCCAGGCAGTAAAAATGATGCTCTAGAATAGAAGAATCTTGAAAAGCAAAAATTGCTTTAATGCCTACCATTTTAGTCTTTGCAGGAAATAATCACCAATCTATTCCAAAGGCTAGATTCTTTTAACCAACATTCATTCGTCAGAGCTTTCCTTTTTTCAAAACCTACTATTAGAACCCATACCTCCAACATTGCAACCAATAACTTCAGTTGAAACTGTCCAGTCACCTATTCTAAATTCAAAGACTCATAGTTGATGTTGGAGTCCATATTCAATGGTTATCCCTTTCTTTTCCGATTCCTACGATTTGCCAGTAAATCAAACCTCAAGCATATATTTAGTTAATAAGTAGAGATTTTGAAATATCAAATAATTTTTTTTTTTAGTTAAGTAAGCTATACCTGCTTTGCAAGATTGCAAGCACGATCAGGCGAGTTAAGGATTTCATAATAGAAAACAGAGAAGTTAAGTGCAAGTCCCAGCCTTATTGGGTGAGTAGGAGCCAAATCAGCCAAAGCAATATCCTTCATAGAAGAAAACATAAATAACTCAGAAAATGTTATAAGAACACGGCATGTTAACAAGAGCAAAATATAATGGCACGGCAAAATGATCGCCCACCTGAGCAGACTTGTAAGCTACCAAGGTGTTCTCGGCAGCCTCCTTCCGCTCAGCCCCCGTCTTAAACTCAGCCAAATACCTGTGGTAATCACCCTTCATCTTAAGATAAAACACCTTGGACTCAGCAGATGAGGCTGAGGGAACAAGATGCGACTCGAGAAGGCTCAAAATTCCATCACAGATCTTGCTGAGTTCTGCCTCAATCTTTCCCCTATACTCCTTGATTATGGAAACATGATCTTCATTTCCACGGCCCTCTTCCTTCTGCTCAATGGAAGAGATAATCCTCCAAGAAGCCCTCCTGGCCCCAATCACATTCTTATAAGCAACTGAGAGTAGGTTCCTCTCCTCCACGGTCAGCTCCTCGACATCCACTGTCTTAGCAACTTTCTCCATGAACTCGACCATTTCTTCATACCGCTCAGCCTGTTCAGCCAATTTGGCCATGTAAACGTTTTCCTCTCGTGATGATTCCGTTGGCAACAGCAACATCTTTGTTACAGTATACTAAGACCAACTCCTGCGTCGCAATTCCAAATATATCCATCATAAAGATGATCTAAACATCATAATATGGCATAACATGCAAAGCATTCTTTATAACCAATCGATAAACTGGTATTCAGTAAGAAAACAACCCTTCGAATGGTTTCAGAGATAGCTTGCAAAAGGAAGAATAGAACACATTATTAAGCCTTAGCTGGTCCAAATAGTTGTACTCTGCAATATTTAGTCCAAAAATCTAAAAACCAAAATCTAATTTATTTATATTTTCTACATCAAGACAGTAACCAGCCTTAGAATCACAACGCTCTGGTTTTGCTTGCCAAAGTATACATATATACTTTCATAATCTTGAAAGTTGGATCTTATATTTTACGTGGTTTTACTCCTTATTGTTAATTATTATATATGTGTGTGTGCAAGTTAAAACACACGTATTACCTAAACTAAGTGATCAATATTCGGTTTTACTTATCTTCCCACACACAGCAACCAAACAGAAAACTAGGGCATATAACTTAGCAGATCGAACCATAAATACTGGGAATAAATCAATTGATAGTAAAACAATCAATAACCTGATATATCAATTTGAGGAATCAATAAATCGAAAATCAAAGATTTTAGATCTACATAAGAAGTGTCTACAGTAATACAAACAATTGCTTGAATATCAAATATCTAACCCTAACCCTAACTGCAATAGCAAAAGAAAATGGTTCCGACATACCTTCCTCCTCGAAACAGCGAGCCTGTAGCGAGCAAACTCAGCGATTGTAGGGAGCGAGAAGACGGAGGCTGGGATTAAAATGGGCGACTTCCGTGGAGAAAATAGTGGTCCAATGAGAACTCGACACGTGGTAGTCAACGGAGATCGCCACCTTGACGTTGACCGCCAAAGCCCTTTATTTTCACTTTCGTTCTCGTGAACCGTGAGGGAAGTGGGGCACTGACTATGGCTCGTGTCACGGTTTAATAATTAGGAAGGTGACTGGCGCCAAGCCCCAAGGAGTGCGTACCCCGTCACGAAACATTTACAACCGGAATAGATGACATTGGGTTAATGTTTGGCTTCACGGAAAAAAAAAAAAAAAAAAATACAAATTTCAAGATTGTATCATAAATTGTAAATACATGTGAATTGCTCTAACAATGACGTTTTTTTTTTTTTTTTAAGACTAGTTATTATCTTAATATTATCTTTTAGAAATGATAAAGATTTATATTCTTTCTCTATCATAATTATCATATACGTCAACGTTGAAGTCTATTAAAGTAGTCATCTTTTACAATGCATTCAATAATTGTCACAACTAATTTGGTTTATGCAGAAGATATACAAACATAATTCCAAATTTTAGAGTTATAGTTTCAGATCAACACATAAAAATTATTTATATATTATTTGGTTAATTATACACACCTTCAATATATAAATATATATATACATACACATATTGCGTTCAAGTAAAAATCTAGAACTAAGCCGTGTGGTTGCCGTCGACAACTTCCAATAGGAAATTTAAGAATGATTCAAGAAAAGGAAATTAACTCTCAAAAGAAAATATGAACTCTCTCTTGCTCCGAAAAGAAAAACTAACTATGTCACGTTTCATTAGTGATAAAATCATGAAAATTACTTCGTGATGACTATCATTTTCCTAATGTTTATGCACGAATGCATATTGTGCACATAAGTTTCAAAGGTTAATATTGTATACATACGAATGCATGTTATGTACATAAGACTCAAATAAAACTGACCCACAATGCACCGGATGCACTCAATACTTATCGGTCTTTGGGCAATTCTCACTTTTCCCGTCTCAGTTTTCTTTTGAAATAGTACTCTTCAAATTTGCCTCTCCTTCCCACAAACAAATTCATAATTACACTTCCTAATCTGCTAATAGTTTTCCCAATTTTTCTCACTAATCATTTTTACGTTTTAACTCATTAGTCATTATTCAATCTGCCAGACCCGTCCGAATTAATAATAAATATGCAGTAGTAAATAAATATTCTTTTATTACTCATAATTTTATTCTCTCTATTTTTTAAAATAATTTTAAATGTTAAAAAAAATAATAATAAAATAAATTGTCATAAAGTACTTGTCTATAGTTAAATTTTTCTACAAAAGTATGCTCTCTTTTAACTTTGATGCGAAATATTTCTGATTCCGTATTAAACTCAATCCAAATGAGCATGACTTTAAAATTCATATTCAATTCCTTATAGAAAAACATGAATGTGAATAGACAACAATTTCCTTGGAAAATTTCAACCATAACATATTACAGAAATTATTTGATATTTAACTATATGAATAAATTTTGGCTAAGAATCTGAAAAGCATAGTTAGTTCATGGCTTCATTCTAGCACATCCACCAATATTAGTCAGACCATAAAAAATTGGATCATGATTATATTATGCAGACATGGAACACAAAGCATAAACCATTTGCTAGTGTTTAGCTTACTATATCATGGTGATAGTGATAGTGAGATACAAGGAGACTTTCAGAACATAACATTCAGAAAACACAGAAAATTAAGCCTAATTACCATCATTCACACGTTTGAGCAAGAACCTGCATAAACAGATGGAAGCTGTTATAAACAGATGTTTGTACGCCACAAATCAAAGATTTTACTGCTTACGTTTGAACAAGAAACATTACTAAAAGGTAAATAGTTTGAAGAAGCTGCTGATATGTCTTTGATTATAGCATGTATCTGATGGAAGACCTTCCACTAACAAAAATTTTGCTGTGATTGCACAAAACCTCCCCCAAAAACCTTAAATTACAACCACAAACTAGTTTACACTGAAGAAGTTGGAAGCACGCATAAACAATTCAAAACACCCAGAGAATCGGAGACACAAGAAAACCCTCCATCTCACAAAAGTGCACATGAAGGTACAGTTATCAAGTTGGCTTCCGCATGTTCCGACCTGCGCGAATTACTTCATCAACAAGAAGCAACTGGGATGTAATGACAGGTCTGCAAAACATAATAAATGTAGCTTAGACACATCCACAAAAGAGAGGCCAACATAAAAAGAAAATAATAATGTAAGGGCTCGTTGCTCAGATGGAAAGCCAGGACAACGTGATTCCCGGTTATTCTTGGGGAGACGAATAACGGTACAAGCATTCCAATGGTAGTAATTTGTTGAGAAAAAAGATATATACATATAGAAAAGCATACATATATAAGAGCATAATAATATATTTAAAACATATATATAATTTAATTGTGAAGTTAAAGGGAGATATCGGAGCCATCTCCTTGATTTGCCTATGGCTGTTTTCCGAAGTAGCAGATATTTCAAGAAACATGGAAGGTTCTTTGAAGAAAATGAATTTTACATACCCAGAGTTTAGGATTTGGCGCTTCACAGAGTAGTTGTCAAAAATACCCTCCATTTGGGGGTCAATAGGATGACCTGTGTGCTGATCTAAACCCACAATATTCCCTCTGTCATGCTCCCCCTAGACAAACATCAAATAGAGGCGAAGCTACAATTAATTTACTCATCAATTATCAAAAAATACAGAAAAAATATCTTAACTGCCATAAAAGATTTACCGTAAGAGCAATGATCACATCTTGAGTGTCAAGACCAGAATTTTCAGCAAGTGTCTTAGGCACCACAAGAAGGGCATCAGCAAAAGCTTCAACACCAAGTTGGGCACGCTGTTCCAAGTTTGTAGACAACCAAAAAATTTATAAGTATATCTAAGGGCTTAAGGATGTTTATATGGCAGCAAATACATGATCTGCGAGAACCATTACCCCTTGAACAGTTTTCTTTACTTCATTGATCAAGTGTTGTCGGGCTGCAACTTCGAAAGCCCCTGCCCCCTGCACCCCAAGGTAGAAACATGCTTTACTAACAGAAATCTGATACTACAAAACCATTTAATGGACAGGCCATGAAGAATATACAGAGCATGTACACTTTGGGAATGCAGAATGTAAGGTTTCTGGTTTAATCAACCAAAATAACAGTCCATATAAACCAATCAAGAAAAGCCAAAAATTGTATATACACAGATTAGGAGCTTATATCTTGGACCAAAATAATTATTTATGAACCGTGTATAAATGCAGATATTTATTAAGTTCTGGTATTTAAAATAAAACCAGTTAATTCAGCTGACAGATAGTCCCTTGCAATTTTTCCTTTCCACTTCTTGTGGTCTCTGTTTATAATTTGTCCAATTTTTCTCCCAAACATACCTACACAACAAACAGAATCCAGTGACAATTCATTTATCTTGATACCTCTACCATAGTAACCATACACACTTCTAACAAATCCATCTTTACTTAAAAAAATGGGGGAGGAAGGTGTCTTTGCAAAAACCAAACTGCAAATTTCACTAGCTGAGTCAGCCTAGTTTACCATAAGCTTAATGTAATCTTCCAAAAGTGGAATTAATGAATTTCGATACATTGAACCACTGTTCTTAGTTTAACGTATCAATTGACATTCTTTTTTCTTTTTTTTTTTTTATAAGTAATGTATCAATTGACATTCAAACTGCACAACTCTTATTTGTAGCAGAGCCGAGGACTACATCACATCAAACTTTTAGGTAGGTCTACCATGCACTAAACAAGCCACTGTACTCATTCCATTCCACAGAGAGATTAAAAAAATGACAAAGTAAAATCGTGATTCTTTTCAATGGAATATTGAATTATACACATCTCCTATACAATAAATCCATGCGGCTACCATCTAAGCACCAGATGGTATTTTCTAAACAAATCACAGAATAGTCAAATGCTGCAGAAGAAATATTAGATACTCACACACAGTATGAAGAAATATCAGCATGATTAACCATGATTGCAATGAGATGTTAAAAAACAACTTACTAATACAACTGATTCATCTTCGATAGTATTTTTGACTGCTCTCAGGCCATCACGAACAGCATCTTTAATTTGGGCAATTGTATGGTCATTAGGTCCTGCACCATTCAATATCACAATGAGTATTGGGTTGCTCCACTGAATGTACTACTTGCAACAAGATGGTGTACATCATATAAACAATATCAATAGAATAACTGCTTCAGCAAGGTAGTCAAATACCATATGGCCATATTATTAAATAACAAAAGCAACTCTTAAAAGGGTCAAAAAAAAAAAAAAAAAAAATTTGATGTACCTTTTATTAAGATTGTGCAAGAGTAAGGATTCTTGACATTTTCCACGAAAGTATACTTCTCTTCTCCAAGAACATGCTCGTATACAACTCCAGCCCAACCAAGGCAATCAGGGGTCAAGTCATCAACAGAATTAACAGCCTCCCCTCCACAAGCCAAAACCAATCTTTCCATATTTCTCCTCTTTGCCCTTCGAAGGGCAATTATCTACAAATAACTGATTTAGCAAGTAGGAAAACAGGAGAAGGCACAAGAAGTACAAAAAAAAAAAAAAACTAATCTGACAATTTGGTAATATTCAATAGAGTTACATCTGTAGCAGTCTCTGTGAGCACCAGATGCATTGCTCCTTGTACCAGTAAGCAGTTGTTTCAATAAAAGATGATAAAGCATCAAAAGTATTAAATTAAAACTAAATCAATGAAAAATGGACATGTCCATAATCTGACAGATTTTGAAGTGAAAATAAATTGAAGTTTCAGTAGAACCCCATTTGGTTCTCTACATGCGACCTTCTGAAGTATCTATTTTGCAGTTTTAACATTTTCTTCCTACCCTAACTCGTGCCATTTTCCCTCTTCTTGATATATGTTGCTTTCAAATTAATATACAAAGGTAATTAGCGTGTAATCAATATCATACAAACAACCAATTCAGAAATGCAAATCCTCCAAGTCGCACCAAGTGAAGTAAAAACAAAAAATATGTCTGAAAGAGTTTTTATCTCTTAACCTAAAATTAAATAAGATATATAATGAAAAACAAATAAAGATCCATCAAAGACCATGAACACATAAACACGCTAGTATATAACCATATAATCAATACTGGGAATTCTTAAAAGATCATATTTAAAATACAATTCTAGTTCCAAAGGCAGTAAGCAACCACAATAATTAATAATCACAACGTTCAGCTTTTTGGTTTTTTGTTTTTCGTTTTAAAGGAGAAGACGCCACTTTGGTTATTCCCTTGGTAAATCACATTGTGAGTTTCAACTAACACGGGAAACCCAGCAATGGGCCTAACACATTATTGTCTAAGACTATGGGAGTGACAAACTGATACTCTGCAGAGTATGCAAGACTTACCCCTGCCCTAGCAAGAAGGTCCAGTGATGGAGGATCGATTCCTTTTTGATTAATAACAACGAAGTTATTATCATTGCCTGAGCAAACCTGCAGAAGACCGCAACTATAAGACATTTTTAGATACAGTAAGAACATAAATGCAACTCTCAGCACCAATACCAGGATAATGCCTCCATCTAATTCACTACCTTATTCTTTAGTTCAATAATTTTTTTCACTCTCTCATCAACAGAACGCCTTTCTGCTGCAACCATTGCCTCTCTCTGCTCTGCATTTGAGTAGAAAAAACCTGCATTTATTTCACTGAGAGGGAAATTGTCAGTTCCTTGTCCACACATTATCCAGTAACATCAAGTAAACCATAGTTAAGTGGGTCTACATCTGATGCCAAAGTCTGTAATTTTCATATCAACATGGACTTGAACCAAGCAGAATATTAATCCTAGAAACATTCAAGAACTTACAATTTGACAAAATCTTAATTGTTTATTAGCAGAACTGATCCTTTCTTTCTTTTAAAAATATAAACCAAAAAAACAAATGGAGGTCAAGACAACTACAAAATAAAATAGAGCAAAACAAAGAAGCAGAACGATTAGTTTTTACCATTAGAACTATGGGTGTTAAAATGATATAATATCATGTGAAAAACACTACCTTCTATTAAATCTTATCATTCCGTCATTTCAGAACTTGCACCATATGCATAAACTAATAGAGTATCACATATGGTACATCAACGTGAAAATTTTAGGCCCTTGCTCACTTCATCAGTAGCTCATATTAAGATAACATTAACTTACAAGGTTCAAAGTCTTTTAAGGAAGAAGAACGGATAACAAGGAAAACACACATTATATTCATCAATGTATACCTCTTCTCATACTCTAATGATACATTGCAAGTCAAGATATAACAATTCTCTGCTCTTCGTTTCATGTCTGGATGCCTAGAACCATGATCAAGAACAAGACCCTCAACCTGGAAAACAGTAGAAATGCAGCATGAGAAAAAATGGGGGACATAAATTGGACTCTCTTTCAAGTACACAGGTGTTCACACACACTTGTTATTTGACAACTAACCTATTCCTTATATATCTTGTTATTTGACAACTAACCTATTCCTTATATATCCTTTCTTTGCATAATAATGTTTTGTATGGAACAAAATTTCAATACAAATAAAAAGGAGATTGAAAACAGTACCAAATCTCCAACAGAACAAAAGGTCCTCTCGGTATTATACATCAAAACCTGTGATGGGGATCTTACGGCTCTTGTCATTTTAAGAAAGATGTTTCATCTGTGTTGGACAAAATGGCTTTGAACCTCTTCAAGTCTAAAGTTTTACAAACTAATAAAAGTCTTTCAAGAAGTAAATTCTATATATCCAGAGAACTAACCTTAATAGTAAATATTGAAATTAAGAAAGGGCCATAATGAGTATTCATAAAAAAACATGCAACAACCACTACTATTACAACTTACACTATATTCTGGACTTAAATCAATAGCACATTATTTACATAATATTCTATATCCAAAAATGAAATTCATACAAAAGAAAAGTGAAAAATAAACTGACAGTGATGTTGTTGACCTACCAAACGGGTGTCTACATCAAATTTGTGGCGCATGTGCATAATCTCAACCATAAACAGATCAATAGCTTCCTCAGGCTTGCGAATGCAGAGAACCTGTCATCAATAATCCATTAATAGTTGCACAACTTGCACGACAATATGAGATAAAGGAGAACCACATGTGAAAGCAAACTTGATAGCAACATAAAGCTAAAAAACTGCATAACAAAATCTCTATTGAACAGCTTTGGTCCTATAAATGAATTTAATCTACAAAGAAAATTCCAAAATAAATTAACACTAGGAGAGCTCACCGCATTTACAACTATGTCAGTCAATTGATCCGCCATTGCTTCATATAACTGCACAACCAGAAGGAAACTGGAATCATATACCATAAAACAAAATCTGCAAGATCCAAGTAACAAAAGAATAAAACACAAAGAAACCTTTGTTCTTAATGTTGTTCTTGCTACCATCTTCAAAATCTCTCTATCAGGTTCATCACCCATCACTACAGGAGTCTTGAACTTTTCAAGAAATTGCAGCGTTGCTCTTTTAGCGATTTCAAATCCATCAACTAGAACACGTGGATGCATACCTGAAAAAATCAAATTTTCCATATAAATATTGTAAAGAGCAAGCAGGAGGAAAGGGAAAGGAGGGGGGATAGCAGACTCGGCAATTGGCATCAATCCACAAAGTTAAACCCCATATGTCCGTAATCCCAAAAATAGTAAAATACAGACATTATTGTGCAATTCATTTTAGTATAAATATCAACAGGAAATGTAAACTCGACCCATTCCACCCAAAAATGGGCCAAACCATGGTTAATTTGTTGATAATTCCAAATTTTAAAAGACAAGAAAATATCATTTATTTGAATGCACAAAATTGTACCACCAGGATGAGTGACTAAAAATTAACAAACTAATAATAACTTGACTAATATATATACATATAATTATGATAAAACTTTTAAAGGGAATAATATTTTAAAGAAAAAAATCAGAGGCATAATTAACCTTCGTCAATGTAGCGTTCCGATTGTTTCATCAGCTCGCCAATAAATATGACAGTTGAAGTAGTACCATCTCCACTTATATCATCTTGGGCAACAGCTGTCCTTGCAATCATAATTGCAGTTGGGTTCTGAATTTGCTGCAAGCATAAACAGGAAAAGCTTATCCACGTTGCAACAAAAAATGATTGCAGACGTAGATTTGAAGATCCGTGATGAGGAAGAAAAATTAGTATGGTGTTAGGTAAATTGAGGTTTTGAGAAATAAAAATTAGTAATTTCTCCATTTCCTCTGGCAACTGTTTCTCATGCTCCTCATCTCTAACTGAACTTGCTAAAGTTCAAATTTGATTTATCTCTTTTATATATTCAGTCTATAGCAACAATTATTACATAAGCAAGTCAAGTGATTTCTTAGCACGCAATATTCCAAAAATCATATTCCTTTCTCTCTTTGCAGGATTGCTATCAACGATGTACATTTCAAATATCTACTATTTCTTCGAGACCCAAAACCCACAGCGAGGTTCGATTAGTATTTCATAGCTAGTCCAGAAAACCAAGAATCCTATATAGCAGTTAATTTATTCAAATGCCACATGAGAAGTAACATGTACCATCATCATCCTTGCCTTAATCCCATAAGAAGTAACATGTATAAAAATGCCAAATGAAATCCGGAAAACACATTGCACAGACACTTAATAGCAATAGAAAAAAATGCAGATATTAACAGTTAAATCGACAATATCACAAATTTTAGACTTTTGGAATGAAAGAGTTAGAAATAGAACAGACCATTTCTTTCAAGAGTGTGTTACCATCTTTTGTAAGCTTAATATCCCCGGCTCCACCAACAAGCCTATAAAATGAGAGAGACCGAAGGAAAATCAAATCATATAGCAGATGAGAAAAACATATCATTGATGAGAAAGGTAAATACGAAAACACACATCTTAATGGTGCCTTTGGGACCTAGGTTGGTCTTGAGAACGTCTTGCAAACCCTTGGCGGCATTGATGTTCATATGAAGAGCAGCGGATTTGTTGAGTACTTCCGCATTAGGGTTCAAAACTCGAAGAGACATTTTTGCTGCTGCAGAGTAAATAGATCCAGCGAATCAATAAATAATAAGAAGCATATACACGCATAAGATACATATGTGCCCATTTATAAAGAGAGAGATTACCAGCAAGAAATCAACTGAACTACAGATCAAGGGTTGAGGAGAGTTGCTGCGTCCCAAAAAAGAGCGAGCGGGAGAGACGGAGAGAGCACTTTCTTGAGTGAAACTGGAAAGTGGTGGGTTTTAGGGCTTTCTCGAATGGTGTCTAGAGACCTTTGAACACGAAACGGCGACGTTGTGTTGACAATTAAATAAAAGTAATAATATTGCAAATAACTTCCTCCACTACAAATTATAATTCGTAAAGTTAATTTTCTACAATTTATGGACAAATCTTTTACTTTTTTTTTTATTTTTTTACCTAAATATTAATTTATCATTTACTTTAATTTTATAATTAGTATCAATGTATCCTAAAAAATATATATTTAAATAGAGTTTTAACTACCATTTTTTTAAATGATTAATTTATTATTAAAATATTATTAATTATAATAAAAATTATTATACTCAGTTTAAACTTTTTTAGTGTAAAAAAAAATACTTTTTTCATATAATTATTTATGAAAATTAATAAATTACTTAAATAAAAAACACTTTCTTTTTTTGCTTTTCCTAGTTATACTCAAATACCTACTTGAACCAACTCTTTGGGGGTTAAAATACTTTTTTTTTTCATTCAATATATTTATAAAAATTTAAGAAATTACTTAAATTGTTATAAATTTTTCTACTTAAGATTTTTGTTTAAATAATTAATTTTAAAAATTAAAGTAAATTTATGCAAATTTAATGAAAAATGTCAACAAATTAGTATGAGTTTTTTTATAATTTATTTTAATAAGAGAAATGGATTGTGTAATTTAATAAAAGGGTATGGTTATTTAATTAAAAGATAACCCAGGCATGAAGGCATTATGTACCGTCGAAGAGTATTAGAAGATTATTTGTAAATTCAGCTATAGTAATTTTTTTTTTATATTTCACTCATCAATTTATAATAAACACACTTAAAAGTTTATTATTTTCTTTTTGCCTGTAATAACGCGTTTCTAAACGTGATCGTCAAACATTTTTTTTTTTAGGTACAAGAATTCTCCTCAATATCCAAAAAGGAAAATTTATGATACAAGTTGGGCCATCATGGACGTGGGCCTTTCCTCTTGCTTGGTCTTATTTCTTGGGCCCCTTTGCCTAGATGATCAGCCGAATTGGTTCTCCTTCGAGATGACCAAATCTGTCTTGGGCCTCGAGTAAATTTAGCCCATAGCAAGTGTGAGTTGTTGTCCTTGACATGTGGCATGCTGTGGTTGACAAGCTATTATTGGTGGAGATTTTTACTCGGCAACTTCTTAAGCATAGTTTGATATGCAGGAATGTAATCTGAATTTCATTTAACTATATATTCTCTTGCTTGGTATAACATTTAAAATGAGAATGATCATTTTGAAGGAATGAAAATCAATTTCACTTATAAAGAGATGGAATAAAAAATTTTGCCACCATCACCACAATCACCGCTACCACATTTCGCCATTGCCACCTCCTTCCATTGCCGCCACCGCCACATATAATTGTGATTTCATTCTATCATTATTTCTCATTTGTAATCAAATAAAATAATGATCATTCCATTTTAATTCTCATCTTCATTAAATTTCATTTCTGCGTAGTAAGCCGTAGAAAATTGCTCAACCTTTGACAATAAACCCCTTTTATAAAATTTATACAATTTCTTATTCATTTTCCGCCATATATAAAACCTGTTAGCTCAAGAAATCCCTCTGAACTAATAAAACGTTAGTTTAAAAACTACTTCAATGGCACCCAACTTTGTTGTGTCATTCTTTGTGAGAAAAATGTCCTTACACTCGTGTTAAAGTATACTATTGGGACTAAGTTGGGTTAAATGTAATTTATACAATTCATGCAAATTGTATGATAAATTTTTTTAAAAAATAAATAAATAAAACATTCTTCTACACCAATAATTGAAATTTTCAAATTTTACTTTGCAAATAATGGGTTTTGGAAGCCAAATTCATATACATTTGAAAATTCAAAATTTTCAATTGTTCATATTACCTTTAAACAAGTTTGTTCAAAATATTCTGTAGCTTTTTCTCATATTAATTAAATAATTAAAAACAAGTATTTAAAAAAAAAAAATTTAAAAATATCTGACTTTGAATTTTGACCACACCGAAAGTTGCAAATTAATTATTTAGATAGAGAATTCCCAACTTTCAGAAAGATTTTATTATTCATTGAAGTGATCAATACATAGGATTATACGTCATAACCAGTACAATTATTACTCTCTACATAAATATCCTAAATGTTGCACTCACTAACTTGATATATATATATATATATATATAGAGAGAGAGAGAGAGAGGGTCAGAGAGGCATTATTCTTCTTTCCAATGAAGAGTTAGAATAGCTTACCCTTTTACCTAAAAAAAAAAAAAAAAAAGAAGAAATTAAACTAGTTTGCATGTATGTAGAACCTTTGAATGAATATCTAAATGAGTAAAACTTTTGAATAGCTACATGAGTAAAATTTACGTGCTTAAAATTCTCTTGTGTTGACCTATTTCTTTTTTCTTTTGACGTTGTTTCTCACACAAGATCAAGATTATAAAATACATTTATAGATATTTGTACATATAGATTGGTAAATCACGACCTGCAGCTCATAATTCACACTGCTTATTGTTACAAAATAAAGCTATGCAAATATTAGTAAAACTGATTAAAATTATACTTTGACAAAATTAAATAATGCTTTATTTACTCATTTAATACATCAAACTCTAATCATATATGTACATATAATTGCTAGAGTGAAGCGTACCCTAAAAAAAAACGGCCAACACCTTGTTCATAGATTCAGTTCCAACCCTTGGTGGCACATGTATATATATTCTGATATCAATTTTGGTGCATGTTGTATATATATTCTGATTTAAGCCCCATTTCTTGAACCAAATGGGCATCAAAGGCTCTACTTTTTCTTTCCTTATGAAGGGCAAAGTCGTGTTTCATGTCACCAAAATCAATTCGAAGAATGATTTTCTAGTGTTATCAAAAGAGTTGAGTTCCAGCAAATTTGGCTCAAAAAATAATTAAAAGGACTAAAATATCCAAACAATTACGTACTCTTTAATTGGAAGAGCAAGAGTGCACGTCTAGATCGAATTAATCTATTTGTCATCATCAAAAAGCGAGTCATAGTATGCGCGCATATGCTTTCTTGCCATGGACATGAATGCTTTGTTCAAGCTGTACCTTTGCCTTGCCATGGACATGAATGTTTTGTTCAAGCTGTACTTTTGAGATGCCAGAAAGAGGATGCTTAAATTTAGAATCAATTGATAAAACTATATACAAAGCAATTGCTTTTTTATATTTTTCAAGTACACATATTATTTTTGCTTACATCTTACAAATTTCGACATTTTGTGATTGGTTGGGACCACATGGTCTCAAACTACCTAATATATGAGTACTATTTTCATTTTATATAGTGATTTTTTTTACCATAGATAACATATCACCTTTCAGCGTAAGCAATTTTAATGGGTCTCTACCTCGTGTTTCATGGCCATGAAAAGCAACCGATCACCTTCCAGCCGTGGTGAAGGTCCGAGGTCGAGGCTCGGAGACCATCCAACCTTGGCACCATTGTATAACATAAGCTACACATAATATCTTGCTCAAATGAGTGCTCCATGTGAAGCTTTAAGCAAAGCTCATAACATCCCTTTCCTGCAAGAACACAGTATAGTCATGTAGTTATCATGTGGATTATTCATAAAATACATTTCATGTTCAACTCTTTCACCTACATCTTTACTTTTGTCAGTGAAAAATGGAAAGTTATGGGAAAAAATGCTTTAGTTCCATGGATATATATATATAACTCCAGATATCTACATTTAAGGCTATGTTTTTACATAATTTTTCTAGAGAATAATCTATCGGAGTAAATGAGTTTACCTGGTTTTCAGAGTCCTGCACTGAAATGTTGAAGCCATCTTGTTCTTCTTGGTCCATCTTCTTTTCCTCCATTATTTTTGAAGCATTAATGGTCATTTGTAGCACAGTACTGACAGAGCTACTCATTTGAAGATATTTAGGAGTTGGGAAGCTGATAGAACTTTTGTTTCCTAGGCCTTCCATTGGGGTTTAATAAATATAGACGTTTACACAACACAAACACACGTGTACGCAGCTCGCACGCATGAGAATGGGGGATATTGATACAATACCGCCTCAAAATTTCTCTTTTAAGTACCGTATGTTCCAATAATTTTTATTTTCTTATTTATTATTATTATTATTTTTTAAAGTTAATAACCACACACACATGTCTCCACTTAAATTCGAATTCCTGACCTATTGGTCGTTCCAATAAATTAATGAACGTATAATACATGATCGAATGGCTCGGATGGCAGCGGGCACAATGAAAATTTTCTCCTCCAGGGATGACTCAACTCCAACATCTTATTTGTCCATAAATCACTTACGACACCATCTTCACCACATATGTAACGCAACCTTCTAAAATCATCTTTATCAGTGATGACTTAAGTATTGTTCCTAAACAAAACTTTGGGTGACAGTGGACCAATTGTTATTATAAAAACTAAGACAAGTTGATTGGACAAAGATAATATAATTAGATAGAGTCACGGACGTTTATTGTATTACAAATGATCCACTTGGTTGGATTAGATTGATTAATGGTCATTTTGTTTTTATATATTTTTTGACGGGTGGGTTGAAAAAAATTTAAACTTAAATTCACCAGAATTTTTTTTTTTTTTTTTTAACGAGTAAATCACATAGATCAGGCTAATAATTTGTAACAGGATTTTTTTTTTTCGGAAATTAGAGACAAGTTGTCTGGTTAACTCATGATTTTGCGGTCCACACAAGAATTATACGAGTGGTCCTATGTGACACGACACTTCAAATTCAATCGAAAAGTTGTCGGTGCTTTAAAATTTATCCTTGAGACCTACCTCGTTTCATTTAGGTTTTATTTGGTTCATTAATTTAGTGATTAAAAAAATAATAATTAAAGTGAGACAAGTTTGTTTGGATGTTAGTATTTGGTTATTGTAAAATATTTGCGAACGAATAATATATTAAAAGACTAAAATAATTCATTTTTAAATTTTTATAAGTTATTTTATACACTTCGTCTGGACTCGATCAAACCTAAATTTTTGCAAAACATAAAAATGTAAAATTAAAAGAAAATAAAAAAAATTTCAAAAAAAATATTTTTCATCAAAACAAATGGAGTCTAAATTTAATCAATTAAAAAAAAAATGAAAGATAAATTACATATCAAATTAAATAATCAAAAAAAAGAAAAAAAATATCCTTTACAATTTTACATTATATAAACAAGTTGTAAGCACAGCCTCGGAGAGCAAGTTAATTCCAAAAGTGTACCCTCTGTGTGGTAACGTCAAGTAGTACTGTGGGCCAGAGCACTCCCCTAAAGCCCAAAAGAAACCCACCTTGAATGCACGTGACGCCACCTTCATTTCACGTGAAGTCTCTTTCTGTCCCAGAGTGGCCTGGTCCACCTATGTATATGAACCGTCTATATCTCTTTAGAGAGAAGTGGGCCAGGCCCAAATGACTTTACATCGCACTAGGGCACATATAGGGGTCATTTTCAATAATTGAGTGGAAAAACAAGAGAGTTAAAGGAAGAGAGAGCGAGTTGATAATTCGGTTGCGTTGAGGGGTGGTAGAGAGTGAAGAAGGAGATTGTGTGTGTGAGTTATATTTATAAATCATTTTTCTGAGATGAATACGACAAGATATGATTCGATTCAGATAAGTTAAGGACACGACACGCAAGGGCGTGGCTAGCACAAATCTATTTATGTTTCTAGAGCTTTGTTTTTATTTTTTCATATCAAATAGAAGCCAGATCAATTAGAGAGAAAGTAAGAAGAATAATAAAAAGGAGAAGAAATAGAATACTATAAAGGGGAAAAAATTAAAAGAAAAGTGGAAGCACCCCCTGAATGTGTATATTTTTATGAAAAATTTACACAAAAGTTATATTTTATAATAATATATTATTATTAGTATTATTTTTAGTGCATCTTTGCTGTGCCTGTATCTTTTTTTTCCTTTTTTTTTTATTTTAATTTTATTTATTTATAGATTTGTTATATTGTTATGTCTGTAGACTCTATACCTTTTTTTATATTATACTCATATCTTGTATATGTGTCTGTGCTTCATAACTCTCGACGTATAAGTACATGACTAATTGACTATCATCGCAGAGTGATTTTCCTTAATTTATAAATTTATTGTACTTGGTTGTTTAAAACAAAACAAAAAAACATACTCATAACTCATACATTAAAGAACCCAAGTCCCTGGTTAATCCGATAAGAATAACAATTCATTCTTTGAATTGTGATAAGACCATACCCCCACTTACACATCACCCCATCCTGATGATGTATCATTTTCCTTTAAAATTTGATAAAATTATAGGGCAATGCTTAGGTCCTCACTAGTGAATCAATAATAAATATACATATTATTTATAATTACTAAATTTAATATAGTGAGTAAATACCCACTTATCAAGTCACATAAATAATGATTTATATTGATCCACATCACTAATGAGGATGGTGTAGATCCTCACTAATAAGGACCTAAGTATTGTTCAAAATTATATATTGAGAGTTGAGACGGTAATATATCTTGTTACAATGCATTTACGAAAATATGACATTTGTTCTCTCTAATTTTGTGGATTATTGACTATATTTTCAACCACATATAAAAAAATTGATAAAGATAATAATTACTGTTATATACACAAAAAGTATATTATTTGTATCTTTGCTGTTATTTACCGTTAGATTTAGTTTTTGTCACAATTTTTCTCTTTAGATATAGTTTTTGTCAGAATTTTATTTTTTCAGTAATTAAAATTGGGTAAATTACACTTTTCTCTTTCGAGATTTGGACAAATCTTACATGAATGAAGTGTTTGAGGTTTATTACTCTGACCTTCCCTAAGATTATAAAAGTCAGTTTTTTATCTCATCTATCTTATTACTCTCTCTCTCCTATCCACTATCGTTAGCCTCTCTTATAAAATATATTGTAAATAAATAAAAAAATAAGTGTAAGGGCAACTTGGTCATTTTATGAATTTTTTTTTACAAGTTTTGATGGAGAGGAGGTTTGTTGAGTATACACCCAAATCTTAAGAGAGATTAAAGTAATAAATCTGAAGCGATCTACTTATGTGAGATTTATCCAAATATCAGAGAAAGTCATTGTAATTTATCCATTAAAATTTGCCACAATCTTGAATGGAAAGCATGGTTTTAGTTGAAACATGTTTAAGGCCCCTTTTTGAGGACATTGGGCCTCGTTAAGTCATTGGCCCAATTTTTCCGAAGTAGTACCACCAATTGCCGACATGCTAGAGTTTTTCGGGTAATAATTCCAAGGCACCTAGTTTTGGTCCTGTGTAAGAGAAAGTTTTTGGCCCAACGAAGCTAAAGCAGGCCCATTTTGTGATTTGACTACACCAAACCCTGGCCCAGATCGCAACCCGCAAACCCACAAAAACTCCCTTTCTGGTTCTTGAAGTTTCAGATGAGAGAGAGAACAGAAACGATGGAAGCCATGGAAGACAAGCCGAAGGTACTGATTCTCTACGCGTCTCAAACCGGAAATGCGTTGGACGCATCCGAACGCATAGGTCGCGAAGCCGAGCGCAGAGGCTGCCCCGTCGTTCTCCTTTCCATGGACGACTTTGATGCCGTAAGTCAATCTCTTTTATAGTTTCAATCAAACTCATGTCTATTTCTCTCTTTTCAATCTCCGTTTGGCTGCTGGGAAAAAAAAAAAAAATCTATGTAATTGACTGAACATAAAAACATGTTAATTGTTGCAATTTCAGAATTCATTACCATATGTGGAGACTGTGGTTTTTGTTGTTTCCACCACTGGCCAAGGAGACACGCCTGATTCCATGAAGGTTTCTTTTTTGAATGCATATCAATTGATACAGATTCTATATATGTGTGTGGATTTTTCTGATTCTAATTTATGTATTGTAGGTGTTTTGGAGGTTTCTTTTGCAACGAAATATTAGTCAACAATGGCTGGAGGGAGTTCACTATGCTGTGTTTGGATTGGGTCATTCTGGTTACCAGAAATATAATGTAATAAAGGAATTACGGTACTTCTTTTCTCTCTAGATAAACTACTGACATCTGTAGGCTGTTATGTTCTTGTTTATTCATTTTATGACATCTAATATATGATTAAGCTCATACTTTATCATCTGCAGGCTGTTCTGTTCTTGTTTATCTGTAGGCTGTTATGTTCTTCTTTTCTTTATTGTTTGAATATTCAAGAAATACTTTGTCTAGAATTCGTTTTTATTCTTAAATTTGGGGAAGTCTTCGATTTTAGACTTGAGTGAAAAATCCTTTTCTTTATGGTTTGAATCTTCAAGAATTACTTTGTCTGGAATTTGTTTTTTTTATTCTTAAATCCGGGAAACTTCTTTGAAAATTAAAATAATGTTGTCTAATTAATGCAAGTGGTGAAATAGATTCCGCTTGTTGTTACACATTCAAAGGAGATCTTATTGTAAATTTGATTTTGAAGGTAATGGATTATAGAAACCAGAAATTATCAAAATCATGAGACTGAGTGCAGCAGTTTGACGGATATCAATTTTATTTGCCATAACAATTGCAACAAAAACCATGTTTGGGCAAAATAGGCTTGTATTCTACGTTGGAAAACAATGCCATAGGGTTCACAAAATGAGACTGAAATATTTAGGAGAAGTCCCTTACTGACAAGATACTGGCCTTGTTAGTTTATTTATTTATTTATTTGTCCTTCTCTTTTCCCCGCCCCACCCACCAACCCAAACAAATAAAGTTCCTGTTGCTAGTTCATATGATCAGGGAACCCAAGAATGTGGTCACTGACCATGTAATGTTAGATTATGATCCTGGAGTTTTTAAGGATGTAATTTATCTATCAAACGCGACTTCTGTTAAAGATTAAGGTGGCTCAATGTTGCACAAGTGGCATGATGTTTCTAGGGGTTATAGTCCACATTTATTCAATGTTGTAATGGTTCATTTATTTTTTAAAACATGTATCAATAATTTGATTATTTTGGCACTCAATAGAATGCCAAATCACTGAAAACTTGAGTTGTGTCACTCAGAAGTTAAAGTTAAAAAGCAAAAGATCAAAATTGAGGTTTTTTAAAGTGTTGAAGAATGATGCAATGCTATTTCACCTGAATGGAAATTTGTTGTTTATGCGTTGTCCAATATTTTCCCCATAAATTTGGAGTTTCCTGGATACTAGTTGATCTCCAAGTGTGATATGGATCTTGTACATTAGTGGGATAATGATATGTTTTCTAAATGCTTTTTTTTTTTTTTTCTGCTTTGTTTTCTAAATGTTTTTGGTTATAGGTTTAAGCTTCTAAATGGAATTGTGAAAATTAGGATATTATATTCTCAAGTAAAAAAAATCAAGAAAAGCAGTATTTTTAATTTGATTTGCTGTCTGTGGGTGTCAATGTTAAAATGTTCTAGAAAAGTCATATTGTAGGGTTGTAAAGTGTCTTCAATGGAGTTGCAAATAAGAATTTGAAATTTCATTTCATTTGGGGAAACTAGCCCTGAAATGCTAGAAAATACTTTGGTAACCTCACCCACTCTCTTTCACCCCTCCTTCAAGGAGTTAATCTGGTTATCTATTTGTTTCTATTTTATCTTTCTCCTTTTCATATCTCTGTTGTTCTATATAAATTTTCCTTTTCCTTTAAAAGTAGACAGTTTAGGATCCAGAGCCTATGGGGATCTGAACCTCAACCATTCATTTTGAAAGGCGAGGAGATACCACTAGTCAATACATCCTTGGTGAACCATTGGAATATGAGCCAGTTTCAATTTTTTTTTAAAAATCTCTTAGCAGTACTCTTCAGAAAGTTCAATTGCGATGCTAGTCATTCTTCAAGATTCCTTGTTTATGCAAGGGAGCTCCGTCCTTTTCTTTCCATCCCCTTTTGTCCTCCATCAGTTAATTTAAAATGTCAGTTAAGTTAATTCTCCGTGAGAACTCATACAGTGATGCTTTACCTGTGTTAATTATTTGGGGTCAACTGCAGATGATGGTTATTTTATGTCTTCCAATATCATGTAGATTCTAAAAGTAAATTAAAAAATAAATAATTTTCTGTCTTAATATTATACCTAATGTGCTCATGGAGATGAGCCATGACTTATATACGCTATGAAGGTAGATAAAAACTTTTCTGGTTTTGAAAAATTTACTTGTTTGGTTTATCTCATTGCCAGACGGTTTACCATCCCAGGCTAATTTGAAATGATTGCATCATTTGTCTTGCACAATGTCCATTTGCCTCCATGATCTGGGTCATTCCTTATTTAGGATCTGTTTCTCATGGATGATGTCCCAAGCTATTGGATGACTATAGCTGTATTGATGCAAAAGAGCCTCAGAATGATAGAAACAAAAGAATCCTTGAAGAGGAGGAGGTAGATGTAGATGTCTTGTAGGCTTATGTTCTTTACATAATTTAAATTTAAAGCCCTTGAGGATTTAAGGGGCTCCAAGAGTCTGTTATCTATTTGGTTTCTCATTGCTCATTGCTTTTTGGTGATCATATGTTACACAGTTTAAAGGGTGCCATATTTAGATTTCGTTGGTCATAGCCTTGTATCTGTTTGTAGATAATTGGTGGTTACCTTGTATGGGTCTCCAGTCTCATGTTTTTGGCATCAAAAGTACAGCTCGTTCATGTTCCTCTTATTGTTACTTTCACCGTGAATTAATTCGTTTGACAGTTCATGATGATTCCATGTCTTAGTAATATTCAATATAAATTTGAGTTGTTTGTCAAATTGAATGTTTCCATGTCTTAGTAACATTCAATATAAATTTGAGTCGTTTGTCAAATTGAATGTTAAATGTCTAAATTTCTTTGATTGTGCCTGAACATATATGCCACGTGACTGTAGCATGCTGCCAAGTTTTCATACAATACAGTAACTGTGCAATTCTAGATGAAATAAATAGTTAGTTATCAATATACTTCACTTGGAACTTACTTTTGTCTTTGCAATTACAGTTTGTTGCTAAGAAGCTTGACAAGAGACTTTCAGATCTTGGGGCAATGGCAATAATTGAAAGAGGTCTTGGGGATGATCAGCACCCTTCAGGGTATGGTTATGGCTTAAAGCATGGATAATAAAATGTAATGAATATAGCTTACTTAAAAAAACTAGAAATAACAAATAGTTACATGATCTGTCAGGAAGATCTGAGGTCATGGTTGTTGAAATTTGGTTTCTATTTTATGTCCAGTGGCTTCATTTGTTAGCGGATTTATATTTCAAGCATGTTGCTCCTTAGCTGACAAAAAAAATAAGTAGATGTACATAGCTTTTACATTATGTAGAGCAAGGTCTGCGAACTTATTCATTAAAGTTGATATTCAGGGATTGTTGTTCTTCTACTAACGTTGTTTATTAAAATGGTGACTTGGGAGCTGAAAATAAAGGGCGAGCCTTGGTGCAACGGTAAGGTTGCTCCATTGTGACCTGGAAGTGACGGGTTTGAAAGAAGGAAACAGCCTCTCTGCACGCAGAGATAAGGCTGCGTACATCTAACCCTCCCTAGAATCCGCAATGGCGGGATCCCCGTGCACTAGTTTTGCCCTTTTACTTGGGTGCTGGAACATCTATATGGCATGAGCATATTTTAGTTATTTTTTTATTTTACTATCTTTGCCTTTTGTTTTTGTTTTTAGTGCATAGTATTTATTTATACTTTGTAACACTGAAGATAATTTATTGCTAATTTTCCCATTGGTAGAATAATTTCCTGTTTACGTATAAATAAAGAGACTAATGATTTTCAATTTACCATTAATAAGGAAGGGCAGACTAAAAGGGATGGAATCCATAGAACCAGAATAGGTTGGGTGAGGTGAGAAGTGCTTCCCGGAAGTGTTGTGGGTTCACACACTATTCAAGTAGAGAGAATATATATTCTATGGGTGGTCATGATATATGGTTTATTGGGCTAGGATTGTGGTTTTAGAAACAGCACAACCATGAAATGAGTTATATAAAAATGTTGAGGTCAATAAGCGAAGAGGAAGCTTAAACAGAAAATGCATTCTTTAGAAATTGGAGGTTGCATCAATTTAGTACAAGATGCTTTTTGATTTGTTGCCGTGGCAGGCAGACAGTTGCTTTTTGATTTGTTGTTCATCACTGTAATCTATAGACTTTTCTTTTATTGTTTGCAGTGGCTTGGATTAACATTGAATCTATCTTGAACCAATGTTGGGCTTCTTTAGTTGAAGTTTTCTTTCACTTGCTGACTTTTTTGACATGTTCCCGTGTGTATTTAGTCATTTGATTATTATTATTTTTATTTGTTTGTAATTGTTATAGAAGCTCCTATTTGCCTTTTTATTATGAAAATTTTGTTTTATTTAGTTTAACTGAGTTTGGTCTTTTTCTATCGTTAATTTGAAATTGCATTAAATTGACTGAAGCATTAGTTTCCATACCCAGTTATGAAGGTGCTCTAGATCCTTGGATGTCCTCCTTGTGGAAAATGTTGCATCAGAAGAATCCCTTATTCTTCCCGAAAGGTACAGACGTTTTGATTCCAGATGTGAAATTAATGGATCAACCCAAAATTCAAATCACATATCATGACGTCGACAAGGTTCTGTCACAATTTTCAGCTAACACAGGTAAATTAGTTGTTTAAACATCTATACTTGATAAGTTAACGTTTACCTTAATGTAAAGTTCCATATTATCGTCATTCCTTGTTGCTTATTCACAAGTTTTGGTGAAAAGTGAATCACTAAAATAAATATCTCAAAAGAAAGGCACTTTTTTGTGCTCCACCTGTGAATTAATGAATTTGCATAACTTCTTGGCTCACTGTATGCCATAAGATTGTGGTCCCAACATTCAGGAGAAATGTTTGGATACTCTGTAATCTCCCCATTTTCAGTATTGTGAATGATACCTGCAAAAATCTTTTCCTTGGTTTAGTTTTTGTATTCCTCTTAGGGGTGCATACGGTTCGGTTCGGTACGGTTCCAGCTGGAACCAGAACCGGAACCGATCTTAACGGTTCCTTAAAAATGGAACCGGAACCGAACCGTTGAGATCTGGAACTGGACCGAACCGAACCAGCATTCACGGTTCGGTTCCAAGGAACCGTGACTGTCTGAAACAATTTCCTCATGAGCTTCGCAAATTTCCGGCCACGGTCCACCCCTCTTCCTTTCCAAGGCTTGATATGAAAGGTCATTCGCAAAAAAAAAAAAAAAAAAAAGAAAAAAAAAAAGAAGAAGAAATATATGAGTTTCGATTACAAAACAAGAATTACAGACCTTGATATATATATATGCATGCACAAAAAAAAGATTACACTTGATTTTAGTTTGCAAAACAAGAATTACTGACCTTGATTAGTTGATTTAGAAAAAAAATTAAAACAAGACCCATACATACAAGTTAGCAGTTGCACAGAGAGAGGGGGGCAAGCTTGAGAGTTGAGAGACAGCGGCTGAAGCTTGCGAATGGCGAACCTGAACTGGAGCAGCGGGTGATGGAAACTGAAAGATATGGGTTTTGATTTTTTGAACAATCTTGAAATGATATGCTGATATGGGTTTTGAACTTTTGATTCTTGCAGATAGATCTGAAATATATGGGTTTTGAACTTCTGATGCTTGTAGATTTTGTAGATCTGAAATATATGGGTTTTGAACTTCTGATTCTTGTAGATTTTGTAGTTCGCAGTTGCAGAGAGAGAGAGAGAGAGAGAGAGAGAGGGCAAGTTCAGAGTCGAGAACGAGAATAGAGATGGAGGCGCTTGGGGAGGCTGAAATGATTTGCCCTAAAAATATTTTGTTTTAAAGGATTATAAATTAGAGTTACTAATATTAATAATATAATCAAATATATATAATATATATATTACGGTTCGGTTTGGTTCTGGAACCGAACTGAATCTCAACGGTTCCTCATTTTAGGAACCGGAACCGTGAGAACTTGGTTCTCATGGTTCCAGTTCCACGGTTCTTTTGTGCACCCCTAATTCCTCTTGGTTGATTATGGTTATGGCTCTTTTTGTTAGAAATAAAAGTATGAGATAAAGACTTCATAGGGAGGAAAATATGTGTTAGAGAGATACAATGATAGGATAAGAATTTATCATAAACATCTTATTTCAATAGGACCTCTTTCATTTATTGAATCTTAGTTTCTGAAAGACCAGAATTCATGTCTTCAAAGCCATACTTCACTCAAAACTCCAGTGATTAGAACTATGGATCTTATCAAAATCCAATCTATCACCCTTTGTTCGACCATATAGAAGAGCTCACATATCGAGAATATTGGCATCCCTTTTTCCAAATTGCCTATGACATGTCTTCTTGATCCTTGAGGAGCCATGATATACCCTTTGCCTTGGATTGCTCAAGGAACATCCACATCCGGACAATGGATTTTGCAACTTGGCATGAGTTGAGGTGAACATGTTAAACACTGATGACTACACCTACGCATGTAAAATAACTTTTCTGTATTTACTAATTAGGCCATTTGGTAAGCATGCATGGCAAATGTATAGCTCCAAATTTTCATTCAACTTATACGAAACAATAAACCTTCATTTTTGGAGAACTTTTGGATGGTAATTTTCCTTAGAAGTACAATCTGGCATTTTTAACTCCAGAAGCCTTTCAATCAATTGAAACTTAAATGTTTGTACTGGTCGAACAAAAAACACAGATAAAGAGAATTTAATTACAATCTGACATTTTTAACTCCAGAAGCCTGTCAGCTTTGGAGAACTTTTGGATGGTAATTTTCCGTAGAAGTACAATCTGAAAATTTTAACTCCAGAAGTCTTTAAAGAGATCTAGTTACAGCCACTTCTCATCAAATTTACAAACCTTTGTGTTGATGAGAAATTAAGAATGAAACAACACAAGGATATACGTGGTGCGGCCACTACGGCCTACATCCACGGTACACAAAGCCCAAAGGGATACATCCCTTTTATTATATGTTCGCTTAATTTTGTTTAAAATGACCACTTCTATTTATAGGTGAAAGAATACAAGTGATAAATATGAAAATATATTGATGGAGGATTCCTAAAATCAATCCCATAGATCACTCATATCAATACTCAGTCCAGATTGTGTGTATTCAGTATTGAACCAAACTTCCATTAAGTTATAATTCAGTTATATTGCAGTTCAGCTTATTGTGTTACTAAGCCAATGTTAGTTTGTGAAGCAGGAATCTTCAGATATTGATTTGTTTACGAAAAAATGTTTCTTGTGGTTGTCCCAGATCTGAAGTCTATTCAGATGCAGATTGAGAGAGCTCGCTCAATGTACCCTGGAAAAATTTCTCGTGACAAGAATAGGCCTGATTGCTTTTTAAAAATGGTAGTGAAATCATTGCCACTACAGTATTTGCCAAATATATTGTTGTATCAGTCAATACGATGGCAGTGCAATGTGTTACATAACTGTTTGTTAATGTCTGAAGTTCTAATATGTGCACTACTTTGAATTTGAAGCACTTTCATCTGTAATTCATTCAAACTCACTGATGTAGGTCAAGAATTATCCATTAACTAGAGCAGGCTGTGGGAAAGATGTGCGCCACTTTGAATTTGAAGCTCTTTCATCAGTAAGTCTAAAATTATTGTCTTCATCATGAGATCAAGTCTACCATACCATGAATGTAATCACTTCACTTACTCATTCTGAATTTGATGTGTCGCAATCTATCTTTTTGAGGTTATTGAATATGAAGTTGGCGATAGTCTTGAGGTTCTTCCTGGTCAAAGTCCTGCTGCAGTTGATGCTTTCATGCAGCGTTGTAATTTGAACCCTGATTCATACATCACAGTACGTATTTGTCTTCCATCATTTCACGTCTATTGCTCCTTGGATGTTTCTAAAATGTAGGGTCTTTCATTGAATGATACTTGATTTATCCCCAAATAGGTATTTACATTGTATAAATGTGTCTTTATGAGGGTTAGCATTGATTAGATGTTGTACAACTACTATAGAAACTCGCGGATATCTTTCACCATACTTATGTGCTGTGAAATTACTGAGATGGTTTGATTATGTGTAATAAATGCCAATTACTGCACCAATAAGATTGGACTGATATGCTGCCTAGATAAAGGTGTTTTGAGGACATTAGGAAGGCTTAGAAGTGAGTGCCGTTTCCTGGTTCAGCGGTTAATCACTTTAGCATTAGTGCCATTGACGCGTGATTGAATCTTGGAGCAGCCTCTTTATGAAATACCAAATGTTAGGTCAGTTTCGAGTCCTCCCCTATAGGAAGGCTTAAAATACCAAATACCAAATACCAAATGCTGGACCAGAACTGGGTAATGTCCCTTAGGAAGGCTTAAAAGTCAGCTGCAGAGGTGGTCAGAATTCAGAGTAGACAATTGTCTTAGAAAACATGACCTTGTGTAAAGTGGACTGGCAACAATTTTTTTAAAAAAGAAAAAAATATGAAACTAACCCTAAATAGTTGGGCTGTTGACTTTAATAAAATGACACTAATGCTTTTATGATACCTCTTTTCTGTCTCATTAGGTGATTTATCCCTAAAATTGGTGCAACCTATGCTAACATCTATATTTTTATGCATCGTAATAGTTATTTAGATTATGTATGTTGTTTTTACTGCTTACACTAAAATGGTGCTAATATCATGTTCAAATCATAGCTGCAGTTTAATTTTGAATTATTGTCATCACTGATGGAAAATATATTTCTTTTTATTATATATATATATATTTCAGGTTCATCCTAGGGGTACAGAGAGTCACCTTGTCAATTCTAAAGTCCCCATTAAATTAAAAACTTTCGTGGAACTGACAATGGATGTTGCATCAGCTTCCCCGAGACGCTATTTCTTTGAGGTAGGAAACCCTAATATTTTATTTTGTTTGGTTTCTCTGTTGTGACATATCTGAAGCGAATTATTTAGCTTTTGTCATTTGACATGTTTTGATTCCTTTGTTTTGCTTGTCATAACATTTGAGCACTGATTTATTTTGTTTATCAAGTAAGTGGGTTTTAGATGGATTGCAGTGTCCATGCATCAATTGGAAAAGGAAACACATGATACTGACACAGGAGTACTCATAACCTTCTTGAACTTGGCATTGATATATCGGTTATAAATCTTGTTAACAAGTAACTTGTTTAAATTTTATGGTAATCCATCTTGGTGTGCTGGGTTTTGTGCTTGGACAAGATGATTTGGAAACTTTACTTATAAACTGCTGATGTGTTAGGAATTCTAATATGTGAAATGTGTTCCCAACCCTCGAGAATTTGGTTAACCTTGTTTTGTTGAACTACACACTCAGTCTATGGCTAAGTACGGATATGGACATGGGATACGGGTACGACTCTATACGACGATAAGACAAATCTAAAAAATAGGACACACAAACGGCCAGAATATGACAATAATATAAACATATACATACTATTTTGTTTATTAAATAATGAGTTTTACTTCATACTTAATTTATCCACAATACCATGAATGTAATCACTAATTTGTTCATAAACTAGGGTACTTGGAATTTGATTTCTTATTTAAAAAGCTATTATTAGTTTTCTGTTAACCCTTAATACATTATAAAATTGCATTGGAACCCCATTTTTTTAAATAAAAAATTGCAAACCTGCCCCGCTGCGTCTCGAAAGTGTCATTTCCAAGTCCAAAATAAAATGATACACTCTCTAGGACACTCCGTAGCCATGTCCAAACCACTATGGCACCCCCTAGAGGAGTTCCGTGCTTTCTAGGTCAAAAGTTGCTTTTATGCACTCAACAAAATTGTTAATATACTACTGGTCTACCTTTGTTCTAGTGAATTTGGGTCTTAACTCCCAAGCTTTGGGTTAAGGTTTCAAGACCGGTAGAGAGAGAAGGAAGGGAAAAAAAAAAAATTAATATACTTCAATCTTTCAACAATTGATGTGATGTGGAGTCGTGTGACTAAGCTGATTCTTCTATTGCAGTCTGGCTCTCGTTGACTTATTTTAGTACCGGTGATCTATTGTCTATCTCACCCCTTTCCGTTTTCTTTTTAATAATATTTTTCCTTTTTGGTGAACCAGTGATATCACAGATAAGGTCCTTTTTTTTTTTTTTTTTTTTTGGGGGTGGGCCAGGTTTGGGCATAGTCCCCCTTGGTCCAACAGCAGTTTTGCCCGTGTGTCCTGCACACCAATTTTAAGTTACTGTCCTAGTCTGGTGATCTATTGTCTACCTCATCCCTTCCCATCTTCTTTTTAATGTTTTTCCATTTTCTTTTTATTATATATTATTATTTTCCCCCCGGGGGGGGAGGGGTGGTGATTCTAAGTTGGGATGTCTGTCCTACTTATCATAGGAAAGTAATCTAACTTTTATTTAATTATTTCTAAGTTTAATATTATATGACACAGCAGAAGTATAATTTACTATTAAAAGTATGAATACTTGAAGAAGCCACTAATTTTCTTACCAGATTATAGGAATACCTAAACGTCTGGTAGCAAATGCACAGTTGTTTTACCTGTGTTACTGGACTATATATAGAGCTGCAACTTGAGTAGATTGGGCTATGAATGACCCACGTGCTCAACGAGTGGGTTGAATAAAATGCGTACACAAATCCAACCCAAAGTTACCTAGCTCAGACTCAGAGGCACCTCAATTGGTGCTCGTTACTCCGGAATAGTCTAGGCTGAGTGGCGCTACTTGCTTTTTTTGCTAATGTATATTTTGCTTACTTGGCAGTTTTAAATGCCTCTTATCACATTTTTTCCATTGATTGGACAAACCCTAGAAGGCTAAAACAAAGACTAAAGCAGACCATGCTGAATTAACTTCTAATAATGAAAAATAATTTAAAGTATTAAGAGGAAATGATTTTTTGCATTAGTAGAATAATTTTAGTAGAACCACAATTTCACAGAGCATTTCTAAACCTCATATCACTAAGATGCTAGTGGTATAAACAGATTTGGCGGGATTCCATTAATGTCTTACATATGCAGGCATATTTTTGCTACAAAATAGATAAAATCGGTGGGGTTCCATTAATGTCCTACATATGCTGGCATATTTTTGCTACAAAATAGATAAGTATTCTGGTTAAGGTCCCAACCCAAGCTTGCATTGAAGTTTAAATCGTTGAACACAAGCACAGTCAACTGGTCGAGTTTGGGTTCTGGTTGTGCTGTGCAGCCTTTGATAATCAAATTGCAGCTTGAACTATATCTCTCATCACATATGTTACTCGATTTGATGAATATGGTCTCAGAGCTGGGAAAAACTGTAACAATGCAAGTTTTGGTTATAATGAATACTTGATTTCTGAGAAAAAAAAAAAAAAAAAAAAAAAAAAAAAAAAAAAAAAAAAAAAAAAAAAAAAAAAAAACTATTTTATACATTTCCTTAATAAATTTCACTTGTCTGACATAAAAATAAAGGAAATATACATTCCATTCCTACATGTGTTAGTGCTCCATGCTATCCAAATTGTTACTGTCCTGCTTTTGTTTCAAGACTGATGATGCTAGAAGGCTTATAATTGATGAGCCATTCTGTATAATGATTCTTCCAGGTCATGAGTTTTTTTGCCAGTGCTGAACATGAAAAGGAAAGGCTTCAATATTTTACCTCTCCTGAAGGAAGAGATGATTTATACCAATACAACCAGAAGGAACGAAGAACTGTTTTGGAGGTGATAAAATTATTTGAACTATAGTTGTTGTGTGGTTTGCTTTGTGCCCCATTGGATACATATCTACATGTGCTTTCTGATTATTCATGGAAGTTAAGTGTGTGATCACTTAAAATATAAAGAACATAAGCCAGATAATAGAATGGAAGATCTTAATATATAAACAATAGTAATACGAGTGCTTCAGCACTCAGCAGATATGGATTTTTTCCCCCTAAATAAAATAAATAAAAAAAAAACTAATACAGTACTTCATTATATGATTTGTATATAATACAAGTACTAATGTAGTACTTCATTATATGATTTATATTATATCGGTCTGTGTAGCATCATTTACATCCAAAGACGTAGGCCGCCCTTAGGCAACGTCATACTGTCAGATATAACGAGAGTCATACTTGATTAGTGTGCCTTGCAACTATTCTGCTGAACCAAGTTATTATTATATAGAAAAAATAATTCTGACTAGAATGTTATTGATAATCCTTTGAAGCCTAAAGGAATATTTTACCTGACTCTTCATCAATATCCAAAGCAGGAGTGAAATGATTGCTCTTCTTCATCACAAAGTTTATTTATATTAATTAATCTTTTTATTCAGATGGTGTTAGTATTTGATCAAAGAATGCTAGTAATTAGTAGATGAGCCTTGTTGACAAGCTTTTAACAGTAATCTGGTGTGTTCTTAAATATCTTTTTAGTTGTAAAAATGTCTAGAGCCTGCTAGAAAAAAGTCCAAACTTGCAAAATTTGCCCTTCCTTTTTCCTATTTCTGTAAGTAATTCTTTTCTAATTCATTCATTATTTATTGACCCTTTTTTCCCATCGGTTGAACCATTGGCCTTTGATCCATTCTGGTTCAATGGACGCTCTGGGTCACTCTACATAAACATGAACTACTTGGTGCTTTGCTCCTACATGATTAATTGTGTAATTGTTATGTTATTACCTTGTATGAATAGAACCTGGTGGATGCCTATTTACTGATTCATTAATGCAGTTCCATAGGTGCTAAAGAAAAATGCTTGCACGTTCGGTGGTAGTTTATCACATTAAGCTGAGTGAAATAAATATTTCTAAAATTTTCATATTTCTTTTACTTGCGCGCATGAATTTTCTCTTATCCTATAATGAATTGATATTCTTTCCACTGTAGGTACTGGAGGATTTCCCTTCCGTGCAAATGCCATTTGAATGGCTGGTGCAGCTGGTCCCTCCATTAAAAACAAGGGCATTCTCCATTTCTTCTTCTCATTCTGCTCACCCCAATCAAGTACACTTAACTGTAGACGTCGTGTCGTGGACAACACCTTTTAAGAGGAAGCGAACTGGTCTTTGCTCAGCATGGCTAGCTGGACTCGATCCTAAGCAAGGTATAAGGCTGATTTCAAATTTTTTTTCTTTTTTTTTTTCTTAGTTGGTATTCAAACACACATGTCTCCACTGAGGTTTGAACCCTTGACCACCCTTTGGGAAGTAATAGCCTGTTACCGCTAGGCCACTGGCCCATAGGTGGTTTTATTTCAAAATTAATATCCATGAAGCAACTATCATCATCACCTCCTGTAATGTGCTTACTATTCATTCGTATTTGGCAGGAGTTAATATACCAGCATGGTTTTGCAAAGGCTCCCTTCATGTCCCACCACCGTCTCTCCCCCTCATTCTTATTGGACCCGGAACCGGTTGTGCACCTTTTCGCGGATTTGTGGAGGAAAGAGCCCTTCAAAGTAAAACTTGTTCAACTGCTCCAGTTCTTTTCTTCTTTGGTTGCCGAAATGAGGAAAACAACTTCTTATACAGAGATTTTTGGTTGTCCCATGCACACAATGGAGGGGTACTCTCAGAACATAAAGGTGGAGGCTTTTATGTTGCTTTCTCCAGGGACCAGCGGCAGAAGGTCTATGTACAACATAAGATGAGAGAACATAGCAAGAAGGTTTGGGGTATGCTGAGTGATGGGGCTGCTGTATATGTTGCAGGTTCTTCAACTAAAATGCCCTCAGACGTATTGTCAGCCTTTGAGGAAATTATATCTAAAGAAAGTGGGGTTCCGAGGGAAGCTGCTGTGAGGTGGCTAAGGGTGCTGGAAAGGGCCGGGAAGTATCATGTTGAAGCTTGGTCTTGAGCTCTGCTCGGTTCTTCGTTTCTAGTGGCAATTCTGGTAGAGGAAATCACACAAGCAGCCATGTTGTGAAGGTACTAAAAAAAATGTAAACTGATCAATCAAACAATTTTCATATTGTGTGTAATCTTTGTTCAATATATAGCAATAGAACCTAGGAACGAGGTTCTGTAAGAGGCTTATGTACCTACTGAGTCTAAGACCATACCATAAACACCTAGGGCTGCAACCTAGGCCTGCCCAACCCAGCCCAGTCCCAACCCAGCCTCAATCCGAATCGGGTTGGGTTGGGCCAACCCGAATTAAACTTATGATCATAACCCGGACCGAATATTTTCGGGCGGGTTGGGTCGGGTTGACGGGTTGAGTTTTTTTATTTTCATTTTTTTTTGGAAATTTATATATAATATATTATATTATATATATATATATATATAATATTATATTAATATAATATAATATAATATATATAAAATTTTATATATTAAAGCAAAATATTTTTAGGGCAAATCACTTCAGCCTCCCCTGTCGCCTCCATCTCCATTCTCTCTGAACCCTCTCTCTCTCTCTCTCTCTCTCTCCAACTGTAAATTACAAAATCTACAAGAATCATCAGAAGTTCAAAACCTATATTTCAGTTTTATCTATCTGTCTGTAAGAATCAAAAGTTCAAAACCTATATTTCAGTTTTATCTATCTGTCTGTAAGAATCAAAAGTTCAAAACCCACGGCATATCATTTCAGATTGTTCAAAAAATCAAAACCAGATCGGCATATCAGTTCAGATTGTTCAAAAAATAAAAACCCAGATCTTTTAGTTTCCATCGCCCGCTGTTCCAGTTCGGGTTTGCTGCTCGCAAGCTTCAGCCGCTGTCTCTCAACTCTCAAGCTTACCCGCTCTCTGTTTGGAAAAAAAGGAATTTTATTTCCTCTTTGTCGACAAATTACAAGTTGCAGAAAGTGGGAAGATTTGTGTTGACGGATCTGGTGATATTCTCGTCTATCCGGCAGAGGTCGCCGTCTCTGGAGGCTTTCCTGGCACCGGTGGAGTCGCCGCTGTCTCTCAACTCTCAAGCGGCAGAGAGAGAAAGAGAAAGAAGAGAGAGAAAAAGAAGAGAGAGGAGAGAGAAAGGAAGAAAAAAAAAAAAAAAAAAAATTGGGTTTCGGGTTTAGCCCGAGCCCAACCCGAATATGCCTGGGTTTTGACAAAACCCAACCCGAACATGAACCCGATTTGGGAATTTAAAACCCAATTTTCAAAATTACGGGTTGGGCTTGGGTTGGGCTGGGTTAGCCCGCCCAAGTTGCAGCCCTATAAACACCTCATGCGGCCTCGAGGCTGGTAATTGGAAAAACTGGACATAGGAGAAGAAATCTTGGAATCTTGAAATGTCAATTCAATGTAGCTACTATGAAATGTAAATTACAGGAATGTTATGTTTGGGAGCACTGAATCGGTGCTTTCGATTTGGGATTGGAGGAAGTTTTAGTTTAAATTTTGTACTAAATTTTTTTCATTCCCAAATTCAAGGCAAAATGTTGTACTAAATTTTTTTCAATCTTAAATCCGGTGCTGCCATAGCAGAAGAAATTTTCTAAATTAGAAATATTGGAGCCATTTAATGTAGGGTAAAGTGCAAAAGAAAACTTGTTATACCCTATGAATGTGCAAAAAATGCTCCTGCAATTTAGCATGTGTATATAAATTCTCAATACTTGAAAATTTGTGCAAATTGCCCTCATCGATAATTTTGACTCGAACATTTTTATAAAAACTCCAAAATTTCCTTAATAAACTGTGTATATATGTGAGTTTTTTTTATTTTTATTTTAAGAACATTTTAGGTATTTTAGTCTTCAAATTGAGAAAATGTTCTTATTTGTTCAATTTGAAAACAAATGCAAGGTATGTATGTGTTTTTTTTTTTTTTTTGGGGGGGGGGGGGGGGTTGGGGTTGGGTTTATATTTGAGGTGGGGGAACTGCGAATTGAAAAAATAACTAACCTACCTAAATATTCAACTTTTAATGTAGGGATGCTTGTAAATTTAATAAGATATATATTCTTTGCCTATCCAAACACTAGAATTGTTATGGTTTTTTTTTTTTTTTTTTTTACCCTCAATATGTATAGTATTTGTTTAAAAGCTTGCCATTAAAAGTGCAATCATGCTTATTATACTAATTGTGTTTTTCTTTTATGCCTCTATATTTTCGTTTCAATAGTATAAAAAACTAGAAATGATAAGTATGGAGTGTTGTAGAGTAGAAATTAGTAGATTGAAGAAGATTTTAGAAAGAGCAGAGAATTTGTAAATGCTTAACTGGATCTAAATCTTAACCATTGATGATAATATACCACCACAACTGTTCATTAGTGAGGACAACATACTATTTAGTAATAGGTGGTAATATTTTGAACGATATGTTAATGCAACACATAATTTGTTTTTGTTTTTCTTCAATGTAAAATTAAAAATCCTTATTGTGGTTTTTATTTTATTTTTATTTAATCATTGTAAATTGGCATTAACTTTTCCCCATTGCAGTCTACTTACCTTTTAAGAAAATCACTTCGGATGCCTAAGTGGGTGGTGAGGCCCCCACAAGGCAGGCTAAAAGATAAAGAGAGCCAGGTATCAATCAACTTATTTGCTCTTGAATGGTTCGGCGAATAGTTCTGCAGAAATTCGAGGACTTTGAAAAATAAATTTACGGATTTAATGTGAATTTTGAGAAGTTTCAATTTTACCCCAACTTAAATAGATTAAATAAGGTTAATTATGTCAAAAAGTAACCAATTTAATTTAATTAAGTAAATTTTGTCCTTTATAAGTCAAATAATATAATAATAGAGTTAATATTTAATAATACTTATTTTCAATATTTATTAGTAAAGAAATAAGAAAAGGAATAACTTTTCATATTATGAATATCTAATTTTTCTCTGCTACTAAGTGTTGGGTTTAGGGTTGGAACCAATGAAGGGGCAGGAGGGCACGTGCACGTGCCCCTCCTGGCCTTCTCTATAATACATGTAGTAATTTTTTATATTTTTTCTATATATATGAAACATTGTATACAATGCCCCTCCTGGCTTGGTCCCGCCCTTATAATATATGTAGTAATTTTTTATATTTTTTCTATATATATGAAATTTTTTATACCTCTAATACATCCTCAAGTGTTGTCTTCTTCACCTTTTCTACAAACCCTTCAGCCATCCAAAGTCTTCCAAAGTCTAATGAGCCGCTTTCGCTTAATCAGATAGTCTTCAGGAAAGAGACTACAATATAAAAAGCAACACTTAAGCACACATAAAACTTTATACTTGTTGTTTTTGTTAGTGTGCATAATTGATGCGAATATGCACTTTATAAAGGCAGAGAGAGAGGACCAACCCCTCCAAATTTTGTGGTTTCTAAAATTATCCCTTTATTTTCTTTTTTATTCTTCAAATTTCTTAAATTTTCTTAAAAGAAAAAGTTAAATTTTCCTACTTCAATTGAAACTCTTAATTTTTTCCTTTTAAAGTTTTCTCATTTTTCTTTTCTTTTTCAATTTCTACTTCTTAAAATTTATTTTTTTAACGTGCATATTTGAATTTTTCTTCTTCTCCTTCTTCTGTATTTTATATTTGTAATGTTTACACACACACACACACATATATTTTGCACAGTGCCCCTCCTGACTTGAAATCATGGCTCCGTCACTGGTTGGGTTCTTTCACATCTTTCTTTGAATGGAGAAAAGAAAGTCTTGAGTAATTGACTCTTGATTTCTTGTATCTTTTCACTTTTATTCTCGTTCCAAAAATTAAAACATTTTATATTCTCTCGGCTCTTTGAACTGAAGGAAGGATTCGAACAAAGTCTTTGAAGTGAAGGAAGATTCGAACATTTCATATTATCTTGGCTCTTGTAGTCTCATTTTGTTTTTGGGTTTGGAAGTTCGGATATTTCATGCCTATTTTAAAGTTTAAGTAGTAGAATTTGCAAATTGAAGTATTGTTGCCCTTTTCTTTTGCTTTTGAACATTATTATTTCAAAAACAATAATTGTCATCTTGAGAGCTTAAAATAAGTTAAATGTATAAAAATGAATGAAATTCATTATTCATTATTCATCATTATTATTATTTTTCTGCTATGCCCTATTCACTGTTATATTTTTGTTTTTATAAAGCAGTTTGTTTGATTGTCATATTTGATTAATTTATATATTATTATAAAGCAGGTTATATTGATTGTAATGGACTCATATTTGATTCATTATTCTGTCTTTTTTATTTGCATGAAATTTATTTAAAATATATATTTACTATTATAAATGAATATTTTATAAGTTTATAATGCGGCGCTCTCACAGCGCTCCCGCTCTAAGATTTTTTAGGATATGTCTCTATGTGAAAAATGACTACCTTTTGTACATTTTTTTTTTCTTCTGTTATATACTTTCCTTTTCTTTTTCTTTTTTCGGAAGGTCCTCTCTAAGAAGATAATTTATTCCAAACTAATAATTTATTTTTGGTAGTCAATAAAGATAATTGATTCAATATTGAATTTTTTTTTTTTTTTATTATTTTTTGGGTGCAATCAAAACAGATAATTTATGCAACAAAGTTAACTTTTTTTTGGGTCATGTCAAAAGAGTTAACTTTTTTTGTGGTAATTTTTTATGGTCCGTCAAAAAGAAATAATTTTATTTTTTATTTTTTTGGTTCTTGACAAAAGAGAACATTTCTTCAATAAATACAATATTTTTTTTTGATTTTTTTTTTTCATGTCAAAAGAAATAATTTTTTTTAAGTGTTATTATAAATTTTTTTTGGTCAAGTCAAAAGAGAAAATTGATTCAACATAAATTTTTTTTGGTCCGGTAAAAAAAAAAAATTTATTTAACTTTTTTTTTCTGAAGAGTGATCTAAAATATTAAAGATTAGAAATAAGAAGAGAAAATTTAAAGGACAATTGTGTCATTTAAAAGTAATAACCATTTACTTATAAAGTTAAAATTATAATTATAATGCAAACATATAAAAGTGGAGTGTAACCTCTCTTCGTTAGTTATTAACAAATTGCATTATATGTGATTAACAACTGAATATAAATTCATTTATTATGATCACTCTACTTGTAACCATATTTAACATTTTGATTCAAAATTATTATTAGTAGCAAAATTAATTTACTTCATATCACAAGTATTTTTTACTTGTATACCTTTGCTGTATTAGTAAAACAAATATTTCTTTTGAATTTAGGATTTAATATATTTTTAAAGAAAAGGAAGTATATGATTAAACAAATGAAACATGTTTTCTTTTCCCATTTCATGTTTTTTCTTATTAACTCCGGAAAATCAAGAAAACTATTCTACTGCCCTTTTCCTCTTTAAATTTCCAATCAGGAAGTGATCGTTGCCTTCATTTTCTTAAAAAAGAAAAAATGTTATTTTATTTTTATTTTATTTCTTTCAGTAACACACAGTTAATAACTTAATACCATCTACAAGAAAAGAAAATAATAATAATAATTTCAATCTAAAACTACTGGCCTTATCCTAACCGCGAGAGCGAAGCATGAACCCATCGCTGATAAAACGAACAAATAGTCATATAGACATGGATCCTTCTCCCGAGTAAATTCTCTCTACGAAATTCTCTCTCTAGATTACACGATGTTGTCACTGGCGATTCAACCGAGTGTTAATGGTTCTTTGAAACCCTCAACATTTGCATTTCCTACTCAGAAAATCGTTTCTAAGCCCTTAAAAGAATCAATCTTTGTGAAGCCAAACGCATCTTCGTTCCAATCATCAACGCTTTCTCAGTTAAAAATCAATCGCAGCTCAAGAAAATCTGTTCTATCGGCTTCTTCAGCAGCCACAGCCGAAGCTGTTCCAGAAGGAGCTCTCGCCGAGGACTCAACCTCTTCTACTCCACCTGAAAAAGAGGTTAGTATACACACTCTCTCTATGTGTGTGTTTGTGTTTTAATGTGCCTATTTTGTGTGTCCGGCTTATAGTTCTTTCAATTGGTAATTTTGTTATTTCCTAATTCACTGCAATTCCTCTTCTATTGCTCTCTCTATATTTGTTGTTGTAATCATAAATGCATTTATAACAAACACTTGTTGAATTTTGTTGGTGTCTGATTTTATGGAACTTAGTTGTTAGGTTCACAAACACAAACACAAACTTCTTTTATACACAATGATTTTTCCTATTGCATATTTCCAATTACCAGTTTTTGGGGTGTTAAATTACTATTATTTTTTTCATTATTTGAATTTATAGAAGCTGGGAGTGGTTGTGAAGACAATGGGGAAACCAAGACTTGTATTGAAGTTCATTTGGATGGAGAAGAACATTGGTATTGCACTCAACCAGGTGATACCTGGCCATGGAACAATTCCTCTGAGTCCCTATTACTTTTGGCCTAGGAAAGATGCTTGGGAAGAGCTCAAGGTGATGCTAGAGAGTAAGCCGTGGATATCTCAGAAGCAGATGATCATTTTTCTCAACCAAGCTACCGACATCATCAATTTGTGGCAGCAAAGTGGCGGTGATTTGGCGTAAGCTTTCAAGTAGGAAATTTTGTCCCTTCAGAATCTAATCCTGTAGGGTGCTTGTTAGTAAAATTTAATTGTGTTGTTGATGTATGTTGCTTTAAAATTCTTTGAATTGCTCTACTTGCTCCTTTCATATTTTAAAGTGATATTTGTTCTATTTATTATGCGTTAATGTGAACTATATGTTCTTGATTTGCTAGAGTTAAGGAACTCACACAACATTGTTTTCCTTCATGATGAAATGTTATTGTTTTTCTTCATGACGAGATGTTAATATTTATTGACATTGAAACTTGGACTTTCTATCCAAGTGTTATTTGTTTGGAGAACTTGTGTGTCTGTCTAAAATTGAGATATACTTGCATAGGCCCTAGTGTTCTCAAATGGTATTGTCTTAGTATGGCGGTTAAGTTTGTTTGAAACTTAGCTTTTGGAAAGCGTGTGTCTCCAGCTTGAGGCAAGTATCATATCCTACATCTTGTGGTCCTCAGAAGTAGGACTGAAATCCAAAAGAAAATTACAACTTGTAACCCTCATGCACGACTATTAGGGTTCAGCTTTTTTCACCAAATTATGATCCTTAAAAATTTGAGATTACTTTATGACAGGCCACCATCAGACCTGCTTGACATCTATCCCATATGAATCAATACCAATCTCCTCGATGACCAGTTGATGGAACTTTGACAAAGATGTCTGCTTGTGAACCTTTGGCCATCACCAGTAAGTGGGAGAGACAAGCTGCACTATTGGTCGTCCTGTTTATACTCATGTAATGACTTTATAATCCTACACAGTTCCCCTAGATGAGAGAAGAGTCGAGACGAAGAGGATTGAAGATTCATTTTTATATGATGAACCACATTTTTATCTTCAGCATGTCGTTTCGTAACAGATCTAAATGTAATTTCCTGTATAATCCCCAAAACAGAATGCCACAAATATCAAGTTTTTGTTAATTTACTTAGGGGCTTGATCTACAAATTTGTTTGTGGATTGACAAGTCTGTTCCCCATTTTTTTTGTATGCCAAAAGTGACCCAGTTGATTTGATTCCATTTGTTACAATATCAGAATAAATTCTATGCTAATGCAGTATTACCGTGGCTTCTAGTTCTGTCACATCTGAAATATGGAACGCTTTTAGATATTTTTTATAAAATGTATTATTCTTTAGAAAAAAGAAGTACTAATATTAATTTGGTCCATTACCATGATGAGCTTAGAGGCCCCAAAAAACCTTCATGCTAAGATGGAATTTTGATAAATTTGGAGTAGCCAAAGGTATATAAACCTGAACTTTGAGGCTCTGTCCAAGTGCTGTCTAACATACTGGCAAGAATTTGAAATGAGACATGAGAATCTTCAGTCCCCAGTACCTCTTCTACCCTTCTTCGAACTGTTGCTGCACTAGGTACAGTCTACAGATGGCAGTCCCTACACAATTTATTATTTATTTATTTTTTCCCTAGTTGATACTCACACAGTCCCTACACAATTATTATGACTGGAATCATCAAATGCGGGAAAACTAATTTTACAATTTGTATTGTTGTCTGGTCAAACTTCTGTCGACACTTGGCAGTGACACTCGTTGGCTTTCAAACGGTTTTGGCTTAGTTTTAATTAATTTGCACTTATTTGTGCCCCAGATTGCTATTGTTTTGCCAAAGCCTTTGTAGCACTGTAATTAAGTGATAGCATGACACTTATAAGGGCAGAATTGGGTCAAGGATTTGATTCTTTCTGTTGATCAAGAAATTAATTATCATCTTTGGCAATTAAAATTGGGCTTGGGAAGATTTAGGGCAATTATTTATGGTTTTTAAAATGGTTTAGGGCAATTGTCAAAGGACATGAACAGGGTTGCAAACAATATTTGCCTCGCATATGATATAGATACAAGAGATCACAAATCAATGGGCTCATTCTCCAATGCATATCCTCAGAAGCTTTATTCAACTGTACATCTCTTAATAATACTCATGAATACCAACTAAATAAATAAATCAATAAATAAATAAACAAAACTCTCATGTACTCCAATCTCTGTATGATTATCTAGTCCTCATTGAAACTGGTTTCGTGTGCCTGCCTGGTTGCTGTAAATACAAATGCTTTTCAGCATTCAAGTGATGTTTACTTCCCAAATTAGATCTTCCCTCCACTGAATATATCATGGGATCAGCTTGAGATTTTAGTGAAATCCATTTTGGAGATTGGCTGTGAAGCATATATGTCTTCTTATTTGAAACGTTTTCTTCTGCAACTGCATTATCAGCTTGAGATTTTAGTGGCATCCATTTTGGAGATTGGCTGTGAAGCATATATCCCTTCTTATATGAGATGGTTTCTTCTTTAACTGCATTATGCTGTCTGGCGTTTGGGAATTCATTTATAGGCGAGTTAGACTTTTTATCAGAACCCCAGTCGTAGAGATTCAACCATGCTATCTTGTCCTGATTCTCCCCAACCTCATCATCATCACTTTCATCAAACGCTATTTCCTTGCTCAGTGGCTCATCCATGTCATGTATCAAAGACTTCTTTCTGTTACTCCAATCATTCTCGTCTGAACTCAGACTTGAAGCAGACAAAGTCTTCTCTAGTACTGCTTTCTTTTTGCTCCTTTCTAACTCTTTGAGATGATTTCTATAGCTTTTTTCTTCCATTTCTTCACTCTCTGATTCAGAGCTGAAGCTGTCAACGGGATGGATCTTGTTAAAACCCAATCCTCTTTCTGAGTGCTTGACATCTTCTGAAGCTGTATCCATGTCAAGTTGAAAATTTGATTTTGATGACCGACTAGGATCAAATAATTTTCCTTGTTGATGTTTGGAACTGGAATGATCATCGGGATGCTCATCCCATGACTCAGCTCGAGATAGTTCCACAGCAGCTCTTGCAGCTGCTGCTGCATAAGCTGCCGATTCAAAAGCCTCATGAGCTGCAGCAGCTACATCCCTGTACTTCTTTCTTGCTTTCATCGAGTCAGATAATTCCTCGCCCCGTTTCATCTCTTCAGGCAAATGTTGGGCATCAACTCCAAGCTCAGGATGTTGCTTTTCCTGGTTGACATCCTGTTTCTCCTGCAATCATCAATAGGAAGTATTTTTACAACAATCCAATATTTGATATCTTAATCTAGTACCATAACTATTAGATTGTATTAATGTTTTTTTTTTTTTTTTTTTTTTCATTGTTGTTGCTATTGCTGTTGTTTAGCTACCTCCATAGAAGTGTCATCTTCAAGATAGAGAATGATTCCATTATCAGAAGCAATTTTCTTTAGCACGTTTTTCTTTAGCACGTTTTTTCTGCTTCCCAAGCTTTCTTGTCGAGTTGCAAGCATCTGTATCATCTGGGGAAACGAAGGAAGAAGCTTGTGTGTTGAGAAAACATTTATTGAGAAAAAAACTTGCAATGGTGAATCCATGAACATCAAAACCTTTACCTTAGGATTTACTCTACAGTTGTTTCTTAATTCAACAGCCTGAGCAGTAAATTCTTTCCCAAATCTTGATGTGGAAATCTCACGGATCTGTTGGAGCTCTGGGAATTCACCACATCTTGAAGCTGCAAATATCAAGCTTGATATAGCCTCTTTGAGCTCATCAGGGCATTCCCTATATAAACATATTCAAATTTATGCCACATTAAAACCAGAAAACAGCTGAAAAGAGGAAACGTTCTCTATTCACATAATAATTACAAAACTACTTCAATATAAACTTGAACCGAATAGATGAAAACTAACCTGTTGTTTTGAATGAGCTCAACCCTCTCTATCAGCAGATGACAGTAGTTTTCTATCATAACAAAAACGTCCAACATGTTCTGCTCCTTGATCACATATTCAACCTATTGAAAGAATCCAATCGTAAAAATTAGAGAGAGAGAGAAAGAGAGAGGGAGAGAGAGAGAGAGAGAGAGAGAGATTGGTGGTGAGAAATTACACGATGGAGGGCACGTTCTTGGTGACCAAGGTTGAGGAGCTGGATAACATCAGACTGTGCCTGGGAGTACCGGACATGGCGCTGATTCTTGAGTATGGCAACCCGGGAGATGGCAAGCTTTGCCAGTGGCTTGAATTTTGATGTCTTGAGGTTTCTTCCGAGCAGAGCATCCAGTTTCTTACCCATGTTTGCTTTACTGTTAAGCTATTAGAGAAATATACAAGGAATTTCTGAAGATGCTCCCAATTGCCTGCCTGCCTGCCTGCCACACACGAGTTCAAGTACGCAACTGAATTTACTCTTATTTATATACTCCGTAATATATTTGTTAGCTGTCTGACAGGTACTATTGAGTATTGATGAATTTTCATCACATGTTGAAGACAATTTCGTAGTACTGTTCTACAAAAAGAATTCTTATATGACTACATCCCATCGGTGTTTCAGCTTATAATCTTGTCCTTTAGCTTCTCTAGTTTGAATTGGCTACGTTAGGTCGATTCATGGGTCTAGAAGAAATCGAGAAACTTGACCTTTTTTAAGCACATATCCCTGAGCTTGGTCAAGAAGTGAGACACATATAGGTGGGTCACAAGAGACCTAGCCAATGAGAGGATTTAGTGTTTGTCTGCCGCATGGAAATTATATGTTATTGGGCCCTACTTGAACTATAGAAGATATTTCAACTTTGGATTGTGTTTTTTCGACTCTTTCGGAGTTTGCCTTCTCTTACTGTGCACGCCATGTCTGGCATTGGATTCAGACCCATTAAAAGGGAGACAAAGTCAAGGGAGATTTTGTAACATTGTGAAATGTAAGAATGAATGGATACTTTGGGTGTCTTAGTCGTAATTAATGGCTGTTTGAAGAAAAGCCAAAGGGGAAGACTACAATAATGCCGAAGAGATGTCCAAAATGGAACCCACATGGAAACACCTGCCTTTTATGCTATATTTGTTTGGAAGGAAGCACCGAGGAAGAATGAAAGAGAAGAATAGAAGAAGCTTTGTTTGGTTGGAATGAATGGGAGTAAGGATGAAGCATTCTTCGTACCTCATGTTTTTGAAAAGTTTTTTATTTTTTTAAAATTGGACAAAAGAGAGGAAGGAAAGAATGCAAAGGCACCCTACAAATATGTAATCCCAATTCTAACATTTAAATACTTACAAAATTACTTGTCAAACCTTACTAAAATTCTCTCACGGGTAATAAGGGTATATTAGTAAAAAAAATATAAAAGTTTTCATTTCCTTCTTTCTGACCAAAGAAATAAAAGTGTCATCTCATCATTTCTACTTTTCATTCTATTTAACCAAATAAAAAGCGAGACATATTTCATTTTTTTAAGTGTCTAGTCCATCTATTCCTTTTTTCCTTTTATCCATTTTTTCATTCCTCTACCCAAAAAGAGCATTAGGAATTCTCAGTCTATAAGGGGTTTGACCAGTGTCAATGGCCGGCTCACATGGCCATAGTATTTGTACCTATCAAGGGTCAGGTGATCTTATTCAAACAGCTTAGGAACAGATCTAATGATCAGGACTAGAGGATATTAAATATTTGATTATGTCCCTTTTAAGCCTTTTAAAGTAAATGGTGAGTAGACATAATTTAGCATGTTTCTTGGAGATTTGGATAAAATAGCATGTTGTATGATGTATCAATGAAGAATTATAAAGAATATTTCATTCTTATCGGATTCGTTACAAAAATCTCTTTGAATTCTTAAAAGAGAACAACAAAATGAATTTAAATCAAAATGAATTCAATTTAAAGTTGGGTCGAGGGTTTTAAATGAATAGAGCCTTGTGCCTTGAGTTAGTTAGGAAAGGAGAAGTAACGAATATATTCGATCTTTATTTATTTATTTTTTCTTTTTCCTTCTGCGTTCTCATCTCAGTAGCAAATTATATTCAGCAACTTCAAGTGGGCCTTGCTCAAGAGATCACAAATCAATGGGTTCTACATCAGCATCAAGGTCTATAAAAAGTTGAAATTTTAGGGTGGTTGATAATTACAGATCTTAAAGTTGTTTATTATTTATTTATTTATTATTATTATTATTTTTTGGTAAAGCTAGATTTTCAAGTCGTAGGGTTTAAATGACAATTATTGAGTAAAGCAGTTTTTCTAATTTTGCCTAATCTATTCCTTTCATCACCATCAATTGAGATGGCCAAACTAGGTAATTGCGTTTTCAATTACAGATATTGTCAAACAAGCAAAACAACAATTTCACACCATGAGCTGTTATGAAAAACAGATTGAAGCCTGAAAATTGGAGGCTTATTTATGGTAAGTGGGTTGTTGCTATCATAGATTTTCAACACGGTTGACTTGAAAACATAGAAGTGGTTAAATAAGTCATAGGCCGCAATATTGAGTTTTAGTGATCTAAATATCGTCAAACAAGAATTGGATGTTAGCATGTTGATTTGAACATTAATATTGTTAAAAATAAAAAAATAAACACTTACCCCAACCACTAGATCAAGAAGTACAAATTTATGAAACAACTCATTTTTCATTCCCAAATGGCAAATCACCATACTAATAATAATTACCATACACGACCATACATTACATGGAAAGACAGACAAACCACACACAAACCGCAGTAATTAATAACACTTCAAAACCAAAACTGTAATTCATATACCTAAAGACTTGAGTGTTCTTCTAGTTCTAACTGAAATTGGCCTCCTCCCTCTGTTTGAATGCAATTTCACTGCAGAATCCGAGGAATCTGTGCTTCCCAACACAGTTCTCTCTTGCACAGAGTATTCCACAGGGTCAGGCCGAATTTTCGATGGTACCCACCATTTTGAAGACTCATACTTGAGTGCCACATTTTCTTCATCCTCGTCCTCATCATCTTTCTCAGCATTGAAAACTCCGGATTTGGGGATTTCGTTTGTGAGGAAGCTAAAATTCTTATCAAAATCGTGGCGTTCAAAACACCGGATTGTATCTTGTTTTTCCTCCTTTACATCATGGTTGATTTCGTTATCTGACGGTTGATTTTGGCCTACTATATATGAATATATAGTCAAATCACTCTCTGTGTCTCCACTTGAATCTAAACTCGAGGTAGATGGAACCTCCTCCATCGCTGCTTTCGTATAGCTATGATCACACTCTCTAGTACAGCTTATACACTCGTTATCTTCATCAATTTCTCTATCTGTTGATTCGGGACTGATGTCAATGGCATGGATCTCCTTTGAAGTTGCGCATTCAGCGATTCTCAGCTCTGGCTTCCGGAATTCATCAAGGTTGAATAGGTACTTTTCTTGTTGAGTGGAAGTGTTCTGATCATCGTGATCTTCTCCGTGCAATTTAATTTGTGCGAGTTGTACAGCAGCTCTGGCAGCGGCTGCTGCATGAGCTGCCATTACAAAAGCTTCTTGGGCTGCCGTTACTATGTCTTCATACTTCTTCCTTGCTTTCATAGATCTAGAGAATTTCTTGTCAGGTTTTATCTCTTCAGGACCATCATCTTCTACCTTATGTTCACTAAATTTAGTTGATTCTATTAGCTTCATGTTGTCCTGCACTCAAACCACATATCCAATTATTCCACATATGGTTGTTAATATTGACATATTAACAACGTGAGACCAGTACTGGGTAATGACCTTTTTTATATTGTAATTGTTCTTGTTTCCTTACCTCAGTGACTTCAGAAGCAGCTTCTCCTTCTATACGTAGAGTGACTCCATTTTCAGCAGCAATTTCCTTTAGCACCTTCAATTTCGTTCCCAAGCCTGGGCGTCGGATTGTAAGCTTCTTTACCATCTGCAGAAAGGTCAATAACAGTTACTCTTGTGATTCCGGAAAATTAAACCCCAAAACACACAGCTTTTCTACCTTAGGATTTACTCCACAGTTGTTGCGTAGTTCAACAGCACAACTGTCAAATTGCTTCCCATATTTCGACGCTAAAACCCCACGAATCTTCTGCAGTTCTGGCAATTGTCCATATCTGGATGCTGCAAAGATCAAGCTTGCTATTGCCTCCTTGAGTTCACCAGGACATGCTCTACATAAAACATGTACACAACATGAAAATGTTACTACTAATATATATTTCTATGTAAACTAACACATGCATATATTTAACATATACTAAAATAATTACACTATAACAATGATATTAACAACAAAGAAGAAGCATGTTAGAAGATGACTGACTTGCAGTTTTTGATTAGCATGATCCTTTCAATCAGAAGACGGCAATAGCCTTCTATAATAACAAACACATCCAACATGTTCTGTTCCTTGATCACATGCTCAACCTATATATATATTAAAAAGTTCTCATTAGATATACTCCACACGTATGATCAATGAATTATATACTCACATATATATAATTATATATATATATAGAGAGAGAGAGAGAGGGGTATTTACGCGAAGGAGAGCAGTTTCTTCGTGACCAAGTGAGAGGAGCTGAATGACATCTGTGCGAGCTTGAGACCAACGGACATGGTGCTGATTCTTGAGGAAGCCAATACGAGAAACAGTGAGATTAACATAAGTTTTTAATTTGGTGGTATTGAAGAATTTTCCTAGCAAAACATCCAATTTCTTGCCCATGTTTGCTGTCAAACTTCTCGTTGCAAATACAAAGTAACAACTATGTGAAATAGTGAAACTTATCCATGGACCAGAACTCCTTAGAAAACAGTAAATTAAGTATAAGATGACAAATAGATTTGAAGGTCTTTTAGGAAGTTAAGAAAAGAGGTGGTTTTTCAAAATGTCACGGTTAAGCTGTGCCATCACAAATATGGAGCACATTATATGCTGGCATATTTTTCAAAGAGCAGGCTTTATGTCTCGAGACTGTTATTGCACTTGTAATCAATAATCCAATATACTATATATGTAACACGCGTAACAAAAATGTAATATTCATCAAACATATATACATCGAAAATTTAACGAATTATATAACATTGAAATGTCGAGAATGAGATATATATATATATATATATATATATATATATATATATATATATATATTTATCATTGTGAATTGTGAGTGTTACATCGTCATTTTAAATTAACGGGAGAGTCTTTGACACGAATTTGCAGTAAAGAGGATCACCTGACACTTGCAGTCAAGAGGATCATTGATTCCTTATGTATACAAATTAGAGCTATATTTTGATTTAACGACTAAAAGAAGCAAAATCATACTTTTACGTACTTAGAGCATCTCCAATGATAAAATGTTAAATTTGGATGTCAAATCTATATTTTGACAGTGCTATAGTGTCAAAATGTTACATTTTAACAATTCTGCTCCAATAATGCATTTTATGCAAATGATATTTTTTGACACAACCACTATTCTTTTCAACTACCATTCCCATCATTTATATTTGTATCAGTAATGTTAATATTAAGTACATTCCAAGTCAAGTTGTGGACATTAGAAGGAAATTAAAATTAAACTTAATTAAAAAGAATAAAAAATATAAAATATCTGATCAAAAAAGGACAATATATATATATATATATATATATATATATATGTATAAATTTATATATTTGATTATATTATTAAAAAAAAATTCGTATATAATTTTTTTTTTCTAAAATTTATATATATTATATATATATATATATGTATATTATATATATTTAATTATATTATTATACTTATATATATATATATATATTTAATTATATTATTATACTTATATATATATATATATAGGGCAAATCATTTCAGCCTCCCTAGTCGCCTCCATCTCTATCGTTCTCAACTCTGAAATTGCCCCCCCCCCCTCCCTCTCTCTCTCTCTCTCTCTCACTCCCTCTGCAACTGCAAACTACAAAATCAACAAGAATCAGAAGTTCAAAACCCATATTTTTCAGTTTCCATCGCCCGCTGTTCCAGTTCGTGTTCGCCATTTGCAAGCTTCAGCCGCTGTCTCTCAACTCTTAAGCTTGCCCCCTCTCTCTCTCTACAATTGCTAACTTGTATGTATGGGTTTTGTTTTAATTTTTTGTCAAAAATGGCAAAGCCAAATTTTGATAGGTAATATAGCATGCCATTGGCAGCTCATATGGGTGGGTTAGAGATGCTCTTACATATTAGGCTAAATTTAGCTCCTTCTCGTCACAGTCAACTTTGATCCATTTAATCCCAAGCATTTGGGTTTGGCAGAGAATGATTTCTTGTGGAAGTTTAATGTGTTGAATGTAAGCTTGGATAAATTATTAAATGGTCGTATACTATTGACATTTGGTGGATTAATTAAATTCTTTCTAATTAAAAAAAATAACATTATTAGAGTGTATTAATATATTACAAAGTAATTTATACAACAGTATAAATTGAGCTAATCCACCACACTTTAAATAGTTTAAAATCATCTAATAATTTCTTGTAAACTCAAGTATATGTATTTCAAAAAACAATTTGTGAAAAAAGGTTAGATATTTTTGCCGACAGTTGAAGTTTGCCACCGTCAATGATTAATAGTGATAAAGAACTTTTCATCACCCAATTTATGAACTTGTAATCGGTTGACGAATTTGTTTTGAACGATTGCGCAGTAATGATGTCTTTATTGCTTTACAGGAATATGAAATTTCAATTAAAAAAAATAAAAATAAATCCACGATAAAAAATGCTGAAGCTAAAACTCACATTTTCATTTTGTTGTTATGAAACTTTAACATCAACATTAAACCCCTTCCATCTTTCTCTCTACTTCAATTGTTTTTATACCTAACTCAACTATAAATTTTCTTTTCTAGAAGAAGTTATCATATCAAACTTATACTTAAATATTCCAAATTAAAATAGAAACTTGCGTACGTGTGGTAGAATGAAGTTTCGGTATAGAAACTTCGTCTACAATCACACTGAACTTGTCACTCAAATCCATAAAAAAAATTAGCCCATTCAAAAAAATTATTATTAATATTGACCCACTCCATTAACAAATTTTAAATCCGTCCTTGATCCAACTCTTGCATAATTGCATTGTAACAATAATTTTGAGCTAACACCCTACCACAAACATCATATTCACGACAGTTGGAGGCATAAACAATACTAGCCAATTAATTGATGTCTTTTTTGAACCAGCTAGGTATGAGGAGGATGTATTTACAAAACAGCGATTGTACATATGTTGATAAAATGAAACAAATAAAATTGACCATTCTTTCATTTTCTTCTCTTGGTTTCTAAGATAGTGTTACCTATAATTGGGGTCTTCTTTTAACTGTTTTAGTGGACAGTATTCAGAATACACAACCCACGAAAAAAATAAAAAATAAAATGAATTAGTTTTATCTTTTATTTTATTTTTCCTTTGATAAAATAAAATCCAAGCAGATGATATTCACTCCATTTTAGACGTGCAGCTTTTGTCAATCTTTTTAATTTAGATTCATTCAATGGGTGCTGCTTCACCAAACATGCCTTTTTGGTGGCTCCTCTTCGGAAAAGATTTTTTTTTTTTTAGGTAAAATATATATATATTTTTATTTTTTTGATATTTGATAAATATATAGATTGAGATTGAACGGAGTGTGTAAAATAAATAGTCTAAAATTGATGAACAAGTTATTTTTGTTTGGTTTAAATTTTTATTTATTTATTTTTTCTCCGTGCGACAACTAAACACTAAAAAATAAAAATATATATTTTATATCCAAACAAATAGAGCCTAATAACTTGGTATTTGCACAAAATTGAGACACTGGAAGTGCATAGGCATGTCAGAATCTTTGAAGATTAAAAAAGAATCGAACAAAAGGAACAACTCTTGAAACAATCAAGCGATTGTGAATAGTTTTTTGTGATGAAAGGACTTTTAACAATACTACAATGCTAACTAATGAATTAAAGTGCGATACTAAAAGGTAAGTGCGTGAAAATAAAATACTTGTATGAGTAAGTGCGTGAAAATAAAATACTTATATTGAAATTATAAGAATTGAAATACAATGTATTAAAGTTTGTTTGATGTCGTTAAGAGCAAATTTACATGTAATTCTAAGTGTTGTATTTATAAGCATTACAAGCCTTACAAAGAACAGGCATGTCCTATCACAAACTGTCCCTTCCCCTTCATTGTCTCTTTACAAAACACATGTCCCACGTCCAACTACAAAATCTTAACTTCCCGACAAACGAATTGTAGTCTTCTTCCAATGAAGCTATGTGTCCGACGGGGCGGAGTCAGTAGTTTAAGGGCACAGTATTAAGAAAAAAAAAAATTATTTAAGGGAGTAGAAAGGAAAATTTTTTTTTAAAAAAAATGACTAACTTAAACAGAAAAAAATTAAAATTTAATTTAACAAGGAAAATTTAATTATTTTTAAAAAATTTGAAGAGTAAATTAGAAAAAAAAAAAACTAAAAAAATAAGAAATAATTTTAGGGGGCTTTATATAAAAAATTCTATATATATATATATAAAATATAAAAAATATTCTATATTTATAGTGGTCGGGGCTTGGGCAAGTGTCCCCCAGCACACACAAGTTCCGCCCCTGCGCCTCACGTTATAGATTACTTGCTTTCCTTCATCTTTTGCTTTATACCTGAGAGTATATATATATATAAAAGCCACGTATTGCAACATATCTTCACCTCTGACTTTCCTTTTACAATTGCAACGTGTGCTCTTCCCCAAATTTTATTTTATTTATTTTCTGGCAAAAAAAACAAAAGAAATGCCATACATACGGGCATATACATATAAGAAACATGGACCAATGCAATAGGTCAAAGCAGATGAAATTCCCAACAGTTCATAACTAACAAACTAACACCTCTTATAATCAAGATCACATGCTTGACAATTAAAGGAAAATGTATTAGTAGTAGAGAAACAAGCAGTCTGACAAAAGAAAATGAACAGGACCAACATAAAGACATAAGCCAAACCCTAGATACAGAACACAGAACTAACCAAGCAAAACTAAAACCTCTAAAGAACCAAATAGAGAAGCGTATCCAACACACCACACTCGCACAGCCAGACACTTCTCAAAAGAAAAGATAAATAAGACAGGTCCAGAATTGCTCCACAGTAGGCACCGCCACGAACCGGACCAAAGACATAACCATGCACATCACCACACTTGGGCAAGAGAAAGGCTGCTGCCCAGTGCATCTCAGACCTCGCAAGTAGAGCACCGTCTTAGAAAAAACATTAGAAGAGTCAAGAAGCTGGCCCCACTGCAGGAAAATAGCTCCATTAAACACATCATTCAAACACATCTGACAGAGCAGTACAAAGGTACTAACAGAA